CATATTGCATACAGTATAAGAAAAACAGACCAAAACACAAAAACTAAACTATAACCACTGAACCACGAAAATGAGGTTAAGGTCAGATGACACCTGCCAGTTGGACATGTACACCTTACAGTCCTTCCATACACCAAATATACTAGACCTATTGCTTATAGTATCTGAGATATAGACTTGACCACCAAAACTTAACCTTGTTCACTGATCCATGAAATGAGGTGGAGGTCAAGTGAAAACTGTGTGACGGGCATCTGCTTTTTGGCCAGGTTGTTGTCTCTTTGACATATTCCCCATTTCCATTCTCAATTTTATGAGGACCTTGCAAGGTACGCACATACCAAATATAGTTATCCTATTACTCATAATAAGAGAGAAATTAACATTACAAAAAATATTAACTTTTTTTTCAAGTAGTCACTGAACCATGAAAATGAGGTCAAGGACAATGGACATGTGACAGACAGAAACTTCGTAACATGAGGCATCTTTATACAAATTATGAAACATCCAGGTCTTCCACCTTCTAAAATATAAAGCTTTTAAGAAGTTAGCTAACGCCGCCGCCCCTGCTGGATCACTATCCCTATGTCAAGCTTTCTGCGACAAAAGTCGCAGGCTCGACAAAAACGAGGGTGAACTCAGGTGATAAGGTTGGCATTTCCTGTTCCACATGTGACGCCCGTCAAGCTCAAGAAATTAAAATCTGGTGATAACTTATAGGGATTGTCTTTATCCTATGTCTCAATAAATACATAAGCTGGAGATCAGCACTTAAATACATGTGTATAAGTAAAAATTAAAGAAAAGGAGTATATGATATCATATTGCTAAGTAAAATATTCCAACAAATAATTCAATTTGTGAATCACAGTTTATTTCATTATTTTTTTTTTATTCCTTGTTGTCTTCTAACCAACAAAAACATAAACATGTATAAAAATAAATAAAATATCTACTATTAAAATAAACTACATAATTTGTAAAATATAAACAGCAACCATCTAATGCATAAATAGTAAATGCAAGTAAAAATAATAAAGAGGTTGTATGACAAAGCAATTTGTTGCGGAAGTACCTTTATAATGCACAATTAAAGGGAAAGTAAGATTTTAATAACGAGCTTGGTATATCAAAAGCACTTATATGTATATAAATAATTTGTAAAACATTTAGGCAATATTTTATTATGGACATGGAAATGAATAGGAGCTGAGGAATGTTCACCTCACTGCTCTAATTTGTTTGTGCTCTCAAATGTAGGCCATGCCTGGAAAATAAAGCTATCAAGCCAAAAAAAAAAGCAACCTTTACCCCAAAAACTGCTACATTTATTGGCCTTTTTTACAAGTCATAATTTGATAATCAGACATTGGTGTGGTGATCTAAAAGTGAGAATGGGAAATTAAAAATCTTTTTTGATAAAAGCAAAAAAAATTTAAAAATAAAGGCCAGTAACACATATTGCATAGTCAACATATCATTGACATAACACTTATTGTAAAGGTCCCCAAAAAAATTCAGTCAGCTTGCCAGTCTTGTGTAGACAGTCATAAGACCATGGAATGTCAGAACAAAAAGTAAACATGGTGACTGAACTTGATTTCTACAAGCTGACAGCATATTCTTTTAAATTCCAAGGACACATAGATTTAAAATGTTTTCCTCATCAAATAGATAAACAATGAACAATATTATCTTATTTTGCTTAAACAATAACAAAGTTTACACACCTACTCATATGTGGTCAAATTTCTGTATTTTTCATCCTCTCTCAGACAAACATGATCACTTTTGTTAAAATAGTTAAGACAAAAATGGCTTAAATACAGAGAAAACAAGGACGTGTATAAAAAAGAGCAATTGATGTTTGATATGTTGGTAGACCTGTATATTCAGGTAACCATCCTTATTTGTCTGGCATCAAATTATCTACTGGCTTATAGAAAACAGACAGGAATGTGTAAAAATATTTTGAAATCCCTAATTATGGAATACTTAAATAATAGCTTTCATAAAACACTCAAAAAGCAAAAAGGCAGCAGACATTGGCCCAATATATTCATACAATCAGTCTTTATCAAGAAAAACAATATGAACAGAAAATAAAATAAAATTCTTAAAGTCATTTTTATCTTGAATGCTGTATGAAAATGTTTTTTATGCTAGGCTGAATTCGTAAGCCAGGTTCTGAAGTGGTTGAAGAATCTATGTCAAGGTTTACCTGTACTGGTGGCTAAAGAATCTAGGTCAATATCTACCTATACTGGTAGCTGAAGAATCCATGTCAACATTTAAATTATGAAATTAAGTTAGTATGTATAATGTTCTAAATGTAGAAATTCTGTCTGTTTCTGCTACCTTTCAAATATTGTAGAAGTAATTTCACATTCAATATGTTTATAACTATATAATACTTTGATGAACAGCTGTGACAACTCAGAAAATAAAATATGTATATAAAAAATCATTTATTGGTCACAACATTATTTTAAAATATTTGAGACAAAAAAAAACTGAATCTATAACAATACTGCACAAACATATATATATATATGAACACAGACTCAAATACACAAACGAACATTATTTTGAAGTCCCATAATCATTATAAGGCTTTATTCTGCAATCAACCTTTGTAATATACAAATACTGGTTGACTGATAACATGAAGTGATAAACATATACTATACGTTTATAGTCTCCTAGTATCCCACTTCTGTTGTGGGCGACCAGTTATATTCAAATTACTGTTAATGTCACAGCTCAATTTAGAGTCATTATAGGGGTTCATGTTTAAGTCATACGGTATTGATATCATTAAAAAAATAAAGTATTGAAAATTATACATTTAAATTGCAGGATAAAATCAATATTGGTACATGGTAGGAAACAATAAAATGTATTTGTACTTGTGTCAAAACAAGAGAAAAGTATGGTGTATATTTCCCTACAATGTACAAATATAGTCTATATATATTATCCAAAAACCTACAGACATTTATTGTTAATATTTCATAAATCATACTGTGTACAGGACACTGAGATTTATAATAAAATAATTCTTAACAACCCAGTTTACAAGAAATATAAATTGCATAGAATGCACTGTCAAAAGTCATATAAATTGAGACAACTGCATAACTAACAATACACTGTAAAATTTCGGATACTAAATTCAATTCAATGATTAATTCATTTTGTATACATATCATACAATTGAATATTTTTTTCTGAGGCTGCATTGCTTATTTTGGTTACAATTACATAAGAATAAAATATCAAACATCAATGGAATGCATACTGTTAGACTTATCTTCATAACATATATACCTATAAATTCATCCATATACTGTAAACTGGGAAATTTTCGCGCTGTCTTTATTTTGCTATTTACTAACTGAATCTTGATTCTCGTCTTTTTGAATTTGTGATTTGTAGGATTCCTGTTTTATTTAGTGAGTAAATTTACGGTACAGTTGTACATGTATAGTACAGCAAGTGTTAAAAATAAATCAAAACTTTTTTGTTTAAACAGAGTGAACAGTTTTTTGTCGGTTCATTCGTGTACATGTAGATTTCAAGTTATTTGACTTACATATTGAAGTATTATTAAACAGTTACATTTATGTTTGCTTGTAAAAACACATACACAATTAACATGAAAGAATACCTTTATAAAGAGCAAATTAGAAGCTGTGAGGATTACGCCTAATCAATCAATTATTTGATCATATTAATCAGTGAAGCAGATACAATGTGGCAATCATTTTAAAAATGATTGAAAATGTCATTTATCAACGGTCACAAGTGTTGTTTATATAAAAAAATCAATAATTTCCACTTATTGAAAAAAGATTTCATTTTAATTTGACTGTCATGAGTTAAAAAATTCTAACATTGCCTTGTGAAAGAGATCTGTCGTCTGAATTGGCCCTGTACATAACCCCATTGGTATACGTTAATGGATTGTTCCATTCTTTGAATCAGTTTTCCTCGAAATATTTGCGAAAGACTTTTTTTTTTGCTTTTCCACTCTTATCGTGAAAATAGCAAAAATAAAACTGTTGCAAAAATTTCCCGATTTACAGTATACAAAGAATCTAGTGATCAACAAGTATATAATCAACAAGCTATCAAAATTCAACAGCAGTAAATATATATATTGAAATACAAAACGGAATCTTTTTCTATAATTAAGAAAAACTTACACAGAAAGATATATCTTATTTTGCTGTTACACATACATTTTTTACAAACTTTATGTGCAAATAATACTGAACTTATGATGGACGGATATACAATTTAAAAATCTGTAGTTTTAAGTGCATGACACTAAATAATCCTTGTAAAATCAAAATATAAAACATCTTTAAATCAACGATGGCATTAATGTTTAGTCAGCAATCATTTAAACAGCAAAATTAAATGTAAAAAGTATGTAAATACAAGAAAACACCCTTCGAATCAGCATTAAAATGTTAGGCAGGGGTTTTCCATATCAAGCCTAAATTGTAATAGGTTCAAAATTTTTTGATACTTATATAGGATCTGGAACTTTCAATTACACAATTACTTACAATATTCTTTATTTTTTTAAATCATCTAAGCAGACAGAAAAAAAATAACTGAACACTGATTTTCCTTAAACTGTTTACCTCATAATAGAAGGGTGCAACTAGAACAAAAATTATGAGTTATCTGTAAACTACACAATCTACCTCTTTGGCAAGGTAAGCAAATAATGTTAATGACATTTGAAGATATTTTTAGGTCAAAACAGTTGCTTATATAAAATTTTCAATATATTATGCATGAATAATAATTTCAATCCAGTAAGAAAACTTTTATGGAAAATATTCATTTTTAAATTTGAGTGGACATACAGTCCAGGTATGATTAAAAAAATATTTAAATTGTACTTTTCAGCCCTAATAAAAACTCAGTAAATCATTTTAAAAAAAAGCACCCCCCCCCCAAAAAAAAAAAAAAACAACAAAAAAAAACTGAATGGTAAGTATAAAATGAAAAGAAAGAGTTTAATGTTAAAATATAATCAAGGCATGGTATCAAATGAAGTGAATGAACTAATTGCATATTTAAACCCTGACCTGTCTATTTAGTAAAAAGGATATAATAAACTCTCACCATCTATTAAAAACTAAAGCACTGTCTTTTTAGTTTAATGAATAATTTTTTTGATTTCTGTCTTTGATTTGAATTCCAAAATATGAAGCATAATACATGTACATAATTCCATACTTAAAAGATAAATTTACAAGACTGCCATACTAAAAAACTAATAAAAGCCATGATGTCACATCTTTGATTTCTATCTATCTAATTTCTGTGGGCATTCATTTCCCCTGATAGTGCAACGGAGTGCAACAAAGCAAACTTTCCTTTATGTGCCCACTGTTATGTTTTACTGTCGTCTGCCTTCTTTCCTTTGGTCTTCCCTCTATTTGTTCCACTGTTATGTTTTACTGTCGTCTGCCTTCTTTCCTTTAGTCTTCCCTTTTTTCTTCCCCTTGATTTTTTTCTTGGCAAGTTCTCCTAGCCTAGCCTTTCTGTCCTCTGCCACTCTCTGTTTATACATTATTTCATTTGCTCTGTCTACAATCGGTAATCTCAAGTGTTAGTTACAGGGTATGATATCTTCATATGATATTGTTAAAATTCTATCAAACTAATTTCCTTGGTATATAGATATAAGAAGATGTGGTATGAGTGCCAATGAGACAACTCTCCATACAAGTCAAAATTTATAAAAGTAAACCATTCTAGGTCAAAGTACGGTCAACAACACGGAGCCTTGGCTCACACCGAACAGCAAGCTCTAAAGGGCCCCAAAAATTACTAGTGTAAAACCATTCAAACGGGAAAACCAACGGTCTAATCTATATAAAAAATTCGTAAGGGTTCCGCGGAACCCAGTGTCTCGCCTACTTTTGCTGTTAATCACAGGCTCAACAAAAATGAGGAAAAAAATTAATAAAAATATTCCTCTCTATACTATCTTTTGATTGTAAGTAGCTTCTGTCCAAGTTTGGTAAAAATCCAGGATAGATTATGAATCTAATAAATGTTTTAAAAACTTAAACTGCAGACTGTATGTAATGTTAACTGGAAAAAAAACTAAGTCCATTTATAAGTAAAACACGGAAAAAATGGAACAAAATTTTTACAAAATTTCCTTCTAGATACTAGCTTTTAATCATAAACAAGCTTCTGTCCAAGTTTGGTACAAATCCAGGATAGTTTAAGAAAGTTGTTAAAATTTTAAAAACTTTAACCACAGAGTGAATGTAATGTTAACTGGCAGAGAAACTAAGTCCATTTATAAGTAAAATACGGAAAAAATGGAATTTTTTTTTTACAAAATTTACTTCTGGATACTATCTTATGATCATAAACAAGGTTCTTTCCAAGTTTGGTAGAAATCCAGGATAGTTTAAGAAAGTTATTAAAATTTCAAAAACTTTAACCACAGAGTGAATGTAATGTTTTCTGGCAGAAAAACTAAGTCCATTTATAAGTAAAATACGGAAAAAATGGAATTTTTTTTTTTACAAAATTTACTTCTGGATACTATCTTATGATCATAAACAAGGTTCTTTCCAAGTTTGGTAGAAATCCAGGATAGTTTAAGAAAGTTATTAAAATTTCAAAAACTTTAACCATAGAGTGAATGTAATGTTTCCTGGCAGAAAAACTAAGTCCATTTATAAGTAAAATACGGAAAAAATGGAATTTTTTTTTTACAAAATTTACTTCTGGATACTATCTTATGATCATAAACAAGCTTCTGTCCAAGTTTGGTAGAAATCCAGGATAGTTTAAGAAAGTTATTAAAATTTCAAAAACTTTAACCACAGAGTGAATATTTGTGGACGCCGCCGACGACAACGACGACGACGACGACGACGACGCCGACGGAATGTAGGATCGCTATGTCTCGCTTTTTCGACAAAAGTCGAAGGCTCGACAAAAACGAGACACGAGAAAGTTTACATGTGCGCGCTATTGTGTGTACTGTATGTACTGTCAGACTGATGATCAAAATCTGATAAACCATTCAATTTTCAAATTTTAATTCCAAAAAAATATAATCAAAGTCAAAACATTTCAAAACAGCAATAAAACTACTGTTACTTGTGAGTAGAAAAAAAGAATATAAATGGTTACCAATATGTCAAACTATCATCTTCTATAAGATAAACACATCAACAAAGTTAATAATAAATGGAGAATATGTCCATGGGACACAGATGATGCCCCTGCTTGCATATAAATTGATCTGTGTTTTGTGGTGATAAGCATTGTGTATAAGTTTCATAACATTTGAATGAGGCAAACTAAAGTTAGAGAACGGAAATGAAAAAATCAGCATTTTTCCCATTTAGGAAGGGGCATAACTCCAGAACATATAAAAGTTAGAGAACAGAAACCAATTTTGGGACATACATACTGATGGACAAGGGTAAACCTTAATGCCCCCTACTCCACGGCTGGGGCATAAAAAATCAGGAAAATAAATCAGGACGAAGTAGAATAGAAAGGGATAACTTGGTTTATACTCTACATATTTCACTGACTTTAAACCCCTGCCATAATTTAGATTTTAACCAAAATCTGCTAAATGCTCAATATCTTAATCTAATCCATAACTACATTTAACAGCTGCACCATATGTGCATGATATGCCTGTCTTCTACTTAAGGTTATTTTCAGCTAAAAATTGAATTTAAGTATAGATTCAACATCTTATTGATGAATAATATGTAAAAAGGATATCAGGAATCACAAAATATGATACAGATTTTCAAATTTATTATTTTTTTAAATGATGAAAGGCACACAAATTGAGAAAAATAGATTTAAACCTTGAAAGGTAGTTTGTCTTGAGTCATCATGACCTACATGTATGTTCTAAACTGTTCAATTAAAAAAAAAAAAAAAACTAGCATGCCAAAATATCTAAAACCACATACCTCAAAATTTGTAAATTCAAAAAAGTCAAACATTGTGTTAAATCATGGAAAGATATGTTAAAACGCAATTCAGATATCATAAAACAAACTCTTCCAATCTTTAATAACTAGTATCTAACAGTGGCGGATCCAGAAATTTTCATAAGGGGGGCCACTGACTGCCCTAGATCCGCCTCTGTCTAATTACTGCGAACATCAAGATGACAATGAAAACTTTATGATGTCTGCATGTTTTATGTAGGCCTAAGAAAAGAAAGAAGCATACATGTTCCGTGCTTTAAACTTACTTAGAGCCTTTTCAGCGAGTCTCAGTTGTCTGTATTCTATAGGTAACCATTCTTTAGGATGACTCAGTAAGCTGAAAATATATTGATAATTTTAGAAACACTGCACGAAATAATGTTTTTGATTTTTTAAAGTATGAGTTGAAATAATGTGATTTTTCTTATCTATAACCACTAGTCTTCATTATTTGTATAGAGGGAGCCTCTTTGGCAAAGTGGTCTAATTAGTTCATCTACTGAATCACTAGCGGGTCATTAATAACTAGGATTGTCAGTTTTCCTGTCTAAGATCGTCGGCTCTCTCTGGGCACTCCAGCTTCCTCCACCATCAAATACTGACCGTCACTATGTAGTCAATGAGGTGTTAACACCCAAAACAATCAATCAATCAATCTGTTTGTATAGAAGTTTTCTGTTTAGCAGGAGACCTATGTTTAGGGACTAAACTCTTAAAAATCACTAGTACGTTCGTGTCACCCATTTTCATATATATATTGTAAGCTTCTTAGTAACCCAGCTTATTTTAATTCTGTTTCCCATGAATACTCAAAAATGCATGCTGAAACTGACTATTACAAATGCATTACTGATTAAAGAGTAACCTCCCTTTACTTGGTCTACCAACTTTATTAGATTTTTTTAATGTTATACCAAGGGTAGGGGTGGGTGTTAATTTTGTTTATATTTTAATAAATCACAAAATCCACAAGTTTTCAATCATCAAAAAGCAATACTGTCATAAATCATGAATGCATTTGGCTTGTAACAAAAATGGGAGGAGTTAATGTCAAAACTTACTTTGATGAAGTATTCTTTGGTAGTGTTGCATTCACTTCATAATGACATGTCCTCCCAGATGGAGGATATAATGCCCTGAAAATACCAAAAAAAAAAGTTGACATGTTAATTTATTCTGAAATATTTTCCACAGGATTTGACATTTCAAATATCTTAAACCAAAAATAGTTCTAACAATTACTGTAAATTCAGAAATTTTTACGATGTTTTTATTATTGCAAAAATTTCAACTTCATATGCTTAAAAAAAAAGTCCCATTTTCTATTTTGATAGTATTATTTCTAGTTGCTGACCAAATATGAAGTAATTCTGTTCATTAGTACGTAAGGAAACGGTGACAGAAATATTTGTTGGACAAACAGACGAAATAACAAAGTAAATTTTTTATAGTCATTCTAGGAGTGGGAGATGAAATGAAATACTAGGGGAAAACTGAAATCAAAGATGGCAGTGCAAAACTGCTCTTTACAATTCATCTCCTCAAAAGAAATTTAAACTTCACAATTAATATATGTCTGAAGTGTTCCAGGATTTCTTTCTATTTTCTTTTAATAGGACGGAAGTTTCACTTTACACTCCAGTTACTAACCTTTCTAATGTTTCAGCTGCCACATTTACACCCTTGGCAGCCAATTTGGCCTGAAGTTGCTGGCATTCAAGATTTTCTTCAGTATCAAAATCCTGCAACCATCAATGCAAAATATGACAAGCACAATTTTTTCATTAAAAAATTCACTGACAGACTGAAACATGTAAAGAGTAAAATTGAAGTGGAAACAGGGAATGCATCAAAGAGACAACAACCCAACCAAAGAGCAGAAAACAGCCAAAGGCCACCAATGGGTCTTCAACATAGCGAGAAAATCATTAGCTGGCAAATTCATAACCACCAAACTGACCCAAAATCTGTAATTTTATTTATAAAAGAATTACAACAGTTCCATAGGAAACAAAATAAATTGTTAACACAGAGATATGTCTCGCCTTTTTGTTATTTTGATAATGCAAATTTTGAAATTCAAATAGCAATACTTTAACATGTAAGTTATGTAAATATCCTAAGTCAATGAACCATGACTGAAAGTACAGGACTAAACAATCTCCCCGGAAATGAGATGTGCCAATGCTAATACAACAACACACCAAATACCAATGACTTATCATAAGTCGTTCCCTTTAAACATACCTAAACACAAACATTGACTTGTTAACTATGTAAAAGTTTCAAAGTCAATGAACCATGATGAGGGGGTGGGGCTATGTAATCTCCATGGAAATGAGATTTTCAAATGCCAGTATATTTGCATACCAAGTATCATTGACTTAACATTAGTGGTTCATCTTAAACTGATCTGATCACAAACTAATACATGTAAACTAAGCAAAAGTTCCAAAGTCAATAGACCATGACTGAGGGGTAAGGACCAAATATTCTCCATGGAAATGAGATGTGCTAATGCTTATATAACTGCATACCAAGTATCATTGACCTACCACTAGTGGTTCACCATAAACTAGACCTAATCACAAACTATTACATTGCTGATGCTGCCGCCGCTGCTGGAAACAGCATACCTCCATCACGGGCAAGATAAAAATTGCATGAAATCATAATAAAGTATCAACATTTTGTGTGTATTTTAGGACTAGACACCATCAAATTAACAATGGAGATAACCTCTGAAGACTGCAGATAGTCATGTGACCTGATACATTTGTATAATCATTTCCTGTTTAATTTCATATTGATTACAAAACTATGTAAATCATTGTTGTACCTGTATAAGAATGAATTTTTGTGGACTGAATCAGTCAACAAAACGGTTCTTCCACGTGGCTCCCTTGTTTCACTTTTTAATTTGATATTCTATTCTTTTTTATAATTGTACTTCCTTACCACATGCACATCTGTCTCCAAATAAAGATCAAATTAAAGGTTGTTTGCAAAGAGACCAAAATGAGGTCAAATTATTGTCTTGCAAGATAATAATATATCAGAGATGTTTTTGAGCTTATTATTACAAAATTGAACCCAACTGGCTGCTTATAACAAATTATTGTTTCAATATTCTGCTTTTATTAACATTGGAAAAAAAAAATCACACTTAAATTTTTTATCTAATCATAGCTTATACCTCTTGAAAATTGTTGCCTACACAGTTCCTCTACTTTGAAAATGTAAAATTGGCATGATCAAACCACATTGTTAATATGATTAATATTGTATTTAAAGGAAAGACTCTGTAAACTTGATTGTAAATTGTATCTTTGGTTTGTTGCATTTTGGCGAAAGTCCATTCTAGATACTAATAATATTGTAAAGAACATCCCTTATGTAATTTGCTGAACATCTGCAATGATATTTGTTTAGACTACATTAGAAAGGTGACTAATCAATTTTATAAATTTAAAATGTAGTAAAACAGTTAAACAACAAAAGTAGCATAAAAAACACTTTATAAATTTCATGTGACCAAAGCGCTTTTCTGGATTTACCTTCATCAGGAAGCTCAAAGCCGAATATTTGAAAGCCAAAGATGTATAAGAACTAAAACAATTGATAAGCCAATTGACCAAAAAGGACCTTAAGATAATAGCCAAATTCATCTAAGAATCAACTTTTACTTGAGGGAATTGAAACCTTAGTTTCTCAATAATTTCTAAATATATAAACAAACAATTTAAGAAAGGTTTGTTATAAATCATGTTGGTACCAAATATGCTCATAAATATTCAATATGTAATTTAAAAATACATAAAATAAGAACAAATAATTATGTAAACTAATGCTCAGTTAAAGAAACAATTTGAAGCAACACACATTATTAGAATATATTTTCAAATTTAAAGTATTTTAGAAAAGACACTCCTGGTTAACAAATAAAATTTCATTTAAATCATAGTGCTAAGATGGTTTGTGTATAAATTCTTACATCATTAGGATTCTTGGAGGTTATGTATACAGGTTTACCGGTTCTTGGTCGTTCTGCAAGTTTGGATTTACTGGCTGTCCGTAAAGGTGGTGCTGACCTCCCTCTAGCAAAGGCACCATATATCTCTGGACAAAAAGGAAAGTAAATAAAGACATTTATATACCATTTATACTGTCACCACAATGATGGGCCTTGATGGTCAAGTGGTCAATGTGATCTACTTGTTTAGATCAATTGCATAATTATATACATAATACATATAATCATCAAAGATTGATTGTTTAATCGTGGTTTCTAAGTTTCCTCTACCAATGAAACTGTTAATAAGCCTGGTCCAAGTCAAGAGCCTTGTCAGTGGTTAAAATTGTTCATATCTTATTGGTTTTTTTTTGTCCTTTGAAGAATTTAGTGTTGATGGCAGATCATTATTGTCTCTGTTTATTAGATTCATTTAACTTTATGTTTAGATTCACTGGGATTTATCAAATGACATATGGTACACAATTAGAGCATGACATATAATACTTAATTAAAGCATGACAAACAATACAGTTTAGAGCATGACATATGATACAAATTTGGAGCTTGACATGTGATATACATTTAGAGCAAGACATGATACACATTGAGAGCATGACATTTGATACACATTCAGAACATGACATGTGATCCACATTCAGAGCATGACATATGATATACATTTAAATCATGACATATGATACACATTTAGCGCATGACATATGATATACATTTAAATCATGACATATGATACACATTCAGAACATGACTTATGATATACATTTGAAGCATGACATATGATCTATATTAAGAGCATGACATATGGTACATTTAGAGCACGTCATATGGTACACATTCAGAGCATGACATCTCATATACATTCAGAGCATGACATATGATAAAAATTTAGAGCACGTCATATGGTACACATTTAGAGCAAAACATATGGTACACCTTTAGAGCATGACATATGGTATAGACACATGTATAAATATATGAAGACTATCTGTTGATCTGAAGATATATTTTGAAGCTGTTCATGTATTATGGGGTAGCTATCACATTGATGTACTTCAATACATCTCCTTTTATTTATATTGTAAAATTCAATAGAAAGCAAAATTATTTGTGATACAATACTGGCTTCACTTCTTAACCTTGAGCATTACTTACTATTTGACAGTTTATCATTGTTAGGTAGCTGTACTGTTTGTGTGCTCACTTTCTTACTGTCTTCTTTACTGCAAACATATATGAACATATACATATTTATATATAAATAGTAAATTTTGCAGATTAAAATAGAAGTATATTTCAACACAAACACCATTATTTTCTTTAAACCAAAAACTCTTTTCATCTTTTGATTAATATTTAATAAATCAAAACAAAAGATAACAATTAGGGAATTGGTCTATAAAATAAAAGATGCCCCTGCTTGAGTCAATGTACTAATTCAAACCAATTGACGTTTAATTCAGCAATTTTTCCATTTTTAAAAGGACATAACTCTAGAATGGTGTGTAAGTGACACCACCCAAATTCCAACTGTGTTTGGTAGTAATAAGCATTGTTTATAAGTTTCATACCATTTGGATGAGGAAAAGTAAAGCAAGAGTGCAGAAACAGCAAATTCAGCATTTTTTTCCATTTATGAATGGACATAACTTGAGAACGGTAAGAGTCATGGACCCAAATTTGAACTTGATATGTGTTTGGTGGTAATAAGCATTGTGTATAACTTGTGTATCAGAACATCTGGTTGAGGCAAACTAAAGTTAGAGAATGGAAAACAATTTCGGGATGTTCATAAAGACAGACAAGCTGATGGACAAGGGTAAACATTAATGCCCCCTTTTACTAGTGGCGAGGGTATAAAATAGACTTGAAATAAAATGCTTTCTTTTGAAATGACAGAAACAATTTTGGTACATACACATTTAGTAAGAAAACTTATCTATTGTTCTAAATAATTTCCTTTTATTTATGTTTGAGATCATCTTACTGTACTTTTAAACGACAATAGCAAAACCCATGCACAATCCAATTTTACCTGTCTTTCGGACAGTTACAGTGACCATGTGAATGAGCAGTTGATCTCTTCTGCAGACTTGCTTTTTCTGATGAAGATTTAGGATGCTACAATAAAACAAAATTTTTTAAGTACAATATCAAATCTGATATAACATATATATATACTCCAAAGTGATTTGTCCTCATACAGTAAGAGTAATATGATGTGTCATATTTATCATCCACAAGAGAAAAAAAAGTTCGTACAGTGACACAGTGACCTATATGCTTTTAAAAGTATATTGCAAATTTCCTCTTTTACATACTTGATAAGAAAGATAAAAGTGTTTGGATATGGCTGAGTATTTAAAATGCTGATCTTCATATACAAATAATATTAATTTAGTCTATCAAAGATGTTAGTATAGCTTATCCTGGTCATATGCAAAACTTAGAAGTACACTTCATCTACCAGTATGTGGTAGAGTTTAATTTTTTATTTGCTATAGCTATATAGATGCGTAACTTTATAGAGTAAAATCCAAACAATACAGTTTTCTCTATCAATAAAGCAGACTAGCATTAAAATTATTAAAACAAACATTCAAAACTACAGTATTTAGATACAACATGAGGTACTGTAAATTTAGAAATTATTGCAATGTTTTTATTAATGCAAAAAATGAGACAGTATAGGGTTCGCATTAATAAAAACTCACACTCATAATTTCAGTAGTGACTTTCCTTCACAAAATTTTGCAATCACATTAATAAGAATTTATCACATTTTTACCAGTAATCAGTGATTCACAATAATAAATCCATGCATTAATTTCTGAATGTACATGTACAGTAAGCAAGGAACAAAGAAAAATGCACTTTGGTAAGGGAGCTACCATTTGATTTTTATGGGGGGCTAGGATGAAATTGGAAAAAAAAGGCAGGACAGGAGTTTTGAGTTAAAAAAAAGGCAGGATGAGCAACTTTGCAAAAAAAAAATGGCAGTATGACAATATATGTAAAAAAAGTCAGGATAAACTAATAAAAAAAGGCAGAACCGAATAGAGTGAAAAATAAAAAGGCAGGACAGAACAAAAAAATGCAGGACAAAATTTTTCATCATAGCCCCCCATAAAAATCAAATGGTAGCTCCCTAATAAAACACTTACCTTCTTATTTGATTTTAATTTTGGCGGCAAGCTCTCTGGTTGGGACAAATTCACAGTTTGTGAAGGTTTACCTAAATGTCTTTCAATTATTTTTTCAATTTCTAAATCTTTTGAGGTTTTCAAGTCTGCTTCATTTTCACTTCCTGATTCGTGTCCAAAACTAAAGTCAGACATTTTGTCCTCCTCGTCTGTTTCGGAAGCCATATGATCTTCATCAATACTTTCTATTGTTTTCATAGATTTTCCATTTTGTTTAATATTGTCATTTACATCTGTAGAAACTGTCTGGTTTCTTGTTTCAGTTACATGTGTTTGCTTTTTCTCTTTAAATGCTGAGGTTGGTTTTCGCCATGAAGGTGCAGAAAATGGTCTTTGAACCTTGAAACAGGAAGTAAATGCTCATCATAACATAAAAGGCTAGAAATACTAATTATTTGAATTTAAGAAAATATGATTATCATTTTAATATTCCAGAGACTAATTTCTACTCATATATAAAAACAATAAACTGCTTTGCCTAGCGCAGCTGGATACAACCACAGAGGTCCAACCCTGAACAGTTGGGGCAAAAATGGACACAATATTCAAGTTTGATATAGGTCTGAATATGGATTGTAATTAAGTATTTGACACATTATAGGTTTCTGACACAGAATAAATGTAGTCAAAGAACTTGAAATTGGTTATATGATTTGAATTAATATTCAGATAATTTAATTTTGGATGTAACATGTCTTCTGATTGGCTGAAAGTGTTTTGACTATCAGCTCATAGACATAATTTTGTCATGTGACCGCGACATCATCAACGTTTTTATCATGATTTACTCTTTTTTAGAATTAAATTATAAGAAATGACTTTAGATATTTTTTCTGTCTATTCAAAATAACATAAAAAATGTGGTGCACACTTTTAAATAACCCGCTGGTACTTTTTATGTTATTTCTTCATAGACAGAAAAAATATTACAGTCATTCCTTAATTGAAGATTTCTTGCTTTTGTGCAATACACTGTGCTGTTGCACAATACTTAGTAAATCTGTTTTCAGACTATATACAAAGAATTAGCAAAATAAATTGTGACCCCCAATTTTTCTTTGGAAAATTGACAATTTCTTTGAGAAAAATCATTACTCTTAAACACAAGTCATTGCCTGAAAATTAAAAAAATGCTTGTTTTAGACCCTTTTTGGTCCCTAATTCCTGAATGGTTTGGGTCAAGGGAGTTGAATCCTATTGCTTTTTTCAAAAATTTTGCTTTGGTCTTTTTTATAATAATTTTCATAACTCAATACTCAAGTGATATTGGTTTTCCTCAGTTGTGTATAAAGAGAATGTATGACGTCATGAGCCTAGGTCATTAATGTTGCCTACGAAAACAGCATTCTTCAAGTTATAATGATTTATAGCTTCTTTATTTGACTTTTTTATAAAAAGGGTGAAAAATAAACATGTGGTAAAATACTCATTTAATTATCTCTTTTTATTCTTAAACTGTATTAAGTAGAAGCAGACATGCAATTGGTGGTAGATGACTTCAAAATACAAATCACTGCTACACTTGTATTGATAGATTGATAAAGGTGTTGTTTAAATCCTTTCAACTAAAATTTGAATTTTCCAATATTTGCATAGTACAAGTGTTTTCAATAGTTACACTGACATGACTGAACTGTTTATTGTTTATACCTTTTAATTCTTTAATGTCTCTACAGTTGAATAAACATTTAAAAAGTGACTCCGTGAATTTCAAGAAACTTTGAGTGGTTTCCTTTTAACTTGAGTTTATATGTTTACATATTTTATCCCAAATAAAAGATCTTACCACATTCCCCATGTTTCTTATATGATACCTGGCCATACCTTTTTATGATTTTCATCTGGTTTTGTGCTGTGTCCATTTTTAAGGACTTCACTTTCCTTTTTAACACTACGGTTTCTGTTGATCTACAATTAAAACAATTTACGTAACAAACAAAATTAACTGAAGAGGGTAATGAAGTTATACAATTCAAATAAATGATGATTTAACTAAAGTTTATATTCAATGCATACATGTAGGACTTAATTATTTCTAACATATAATTTTCATTTTCTACAATAAATCCAAAATTTAACATATAAACATTCTTACAACTTCAGTCTTACAAGTCAAGTAAAATCAACATGTATATTGAACTACTTTTTGTTTTGTAATTTGTTTTTTTCATATGCACACAGTTTTTCTTGTATATTTGTTTGGAAACCAACAATAGCACCGATGGTCATTTACTTTGCATACACAACAAATACTATAAAACATACCATTTCACTAACAGGTCTAGGTTTTGACCTTACTCTAGTTGCTTCCCTTAGCTGCCTATCTTTTTCATATAGTTCATTTGTTTGTTGGTCAATAAAACTTTGAATCTTTGTTTCTTTCAAATCATTGCCAGATTCATCAAGTTCTATTGTTTTGATTGTTTTGACAAGAGGAGCTCCAGTAACCAGCTGAGAGTCAAGTTTCTCCTTTTTCTGTGCTTTAGAATTTGCCTGATTTACTTGACGTGAAAGCTCGTAATAATTTTTTGAAGGTTGTGATGTGGTTTTGGTTTTCATCCAAGGTTCTAATTTGTCTGGTGTTATAACTTCCTGCGGCTTTTCCTCATCACTGTCTGAAACTTGCATCTGCTGAACTAAAGTAACAACATCTTTCTCACTCTTCAGTCCACGGTATCGCTTTCGCTTTTTGGCATTGTCCAAATCACAGTAGGCAACAGTGACAGAACTTAAAGGCGTAGTTGGTCTATTAGTTGATGCTGATGCTGGTCTATTGCTGAAACTTTTTTCACACCTTTTATTATCATGAGAGTTGAAGTTAAATTCCAGATTTTCATTTTTAGGTTTCTCTGATCTTGTGTAGCTTTTATTGTTAGTCAAAGTTCTTGCTGTTTTTGTTTCATGTTTCATTTCAGTTAATGAAACTGTCTTATTGTGTGAACTCACAGGAGCTTCCTGTGTATTAGCACTTGAAACAGACAAAACTGATTGAAGCTCTTCAGATTCAAGGATTTTCTCTGGTTTCTTTCTACTTAATTCTGATACCTTATGACCAGCATTTCTAGGAGTAATGTCAATTGTAACATTTCTATCTTCACTGAATTTTACTGAGACTTTCTCTAAAGGATGGGGTTGATATGAGTCAATCTCACTTCGTGGGGTATTGGTAATTTGTCCAGAGTATTCAGATCCAGAAAAATCATATGAATCATTGACATCCTCCTTTTCCCATGAGACCACCTCACTATCACCGTAAGTATGAATCTCTAGTTTGCTTTCCTTTGAAGTTGGACTATTTACATGGGTATATGTATATCCAGGCAAGTCATTTACACAATGGTTAGCAGACGACACTTTCTCTATGAAGTCATTGATAGATTCGGATTTCTTATCAGCATGTATGTGCTCTTCTGCCATTGTTAATAACCTGCAAAACATAAATACATTCTAAAAAACTGCAAAACATAATTACATTCTAAAAAACTGCAAAACATAAAAACATTCTGAAAATATTCTGGATATGGTTTATTTCATTGGTACCAATTTTACCAGATTTTATACTTGATTTTACTAACAACATTTAATACTTAATAAATTATAATTTTTCTTATCGATCTACTTGTTTCGAAGTCAGATGCCTCTTATCAATTAGATACTAACTTCATTAACCATAATATTTCACAAAAAGACAGTTTGACTAAGAGGTCCTTATGAGTCAGAATTGCACTCCTGACACAGTTTTAGGCACCTGTGAATGGTCTTCTCTCTCATTTCACAGCATTTGTAAATTACAAATCGTTAGTAAACATCTTTCAAGGGTGATGACTCTTCATCAAATAATGGGACAATTTTATCCCAAGGAAGTCTTTGGTAGACATAGATTCACTGATCTTTTTTTCAAAATTTAACACTTTTCCTCTTGCTCTTATATAGACTTTTTCTGAAATTTTTATGGTAAATCGATTCTGTTCAGTTGACCATTTCTGTATTCTATCTTTTTCAGCTAATGTATTGGAGCCTACAGTTTTTGAAATAATTTGCTAAAATTACGCCAAAATGTGTTGTCCAATTCTTCTGAAATGTTTAAGAAAGATCCTGACCTGATAATTTTGACATATTCATCCAATTGTTCTATTTTAAGCATTGTCAGTCATGTTTGTTGCTGAATCAAAATCTTGGGTAAGTTCTATTAACTATAGGAATAGTTACAAAGTTTGGTTTAAATCAGTTCAATGCTTTCAAAGGAGAAGATTTTTGAAAAAGTTAACCTGAACAACAGATACCAATAGCTCACATAGCCCTTCAGTCTAGGTGAGCTAAAAATTGATAGCAATTAAAACAAAAATTGCTAACCAGTCAATGGCTATAGATAATTAGAGTGCAATTTTCTCCCCAAAAACTCTGTATTTGCTATCAAATTTGTACCTCTCTGTGTCAAGCTCATCCTCATCTTCATCTTCTTCTTCCTCATCATACATTGTTGGCAACATTAGATGTATTGGTGCTGGAGGTACATGTGGGGGTGTAGGAGTCCTAGGAGACTCAGCATGGGTGTACCGAAGTCTTGGAGAATTAACAGCATCTTCATTTGTACTGTTAATCAAATAATGATACATTATGTAATATAAATAAATACTTAAAAGAGACTTCTCCCAACAACACAAGAAATTTTCTTTAATATCATACTTTGTATATATATATGTACCTTTTTTCTCTAGTACTTATTTCCACGAATTTGGTATTGACCATGAATTCCTGTGTATTTAATTTCGGGGTATTTTAGAAAATATCAAAACATTAATAACTGACTTAGCATATCAAAATATTCATTTATTTAGTCTTTATTTATTTAATATGTTTTTACAGTTTCACAGTTCGATTATGATTATGTAAGGTAAACAAAATAATCATACATGTGCAGTTGTAAATTATGGTGATATTTATTAAATGGTATTTATTATGCATGTAAGCTGCATTTGCATCCATGTTTATTTATTTTCGCGAAAATACACCTACTGCGAAATTCGTTAAAAATAAATACACCACATGTAAGCATGATAACTAGATGTTATTGACTTCAAAATGTTACTTTTCTCATAAAAGTAATCAGTAATGATAGTTTCAGGAGAAATCCAGCACTTTACATTACTGTACTATAGGAAACAATAGCAGATTTATAAACTGTAGCAAAATTTATTCATGGAGTTGGGACCTGTGTGGTTGTAAATCACATACATGATATTGGCACTACAATTAATGTATAATAAGACAAAATATAAGGGTACTCATCAAATGCATGGATTTACTAAGAACTAAAACAACTTTATATACAAATGCTGTATAATTTTAGAAGGATCTATAATGTAAAATATAAGGGGTTGAATTTATATCATGAGTGTACCATGTCATTTTTGCACACTGTCTCATGATGTGTGTGTAACTGTTAATGGCAATTATTTCATGCATATTCAGGAAGACCATTGTCTAAGGACAAGTCATGAATGATTTAAGAGAAATTACAAAGAAAAAATAAATTCCATCAAACTTCTGTGCAAAATAACTTTCAATAATACTTTATTTTGTTTTTTGAGTGTTATCTACTTTTAGCCAATTGTTTTGTTTAGAGAAATACTAACTTGCTTTGTAAATCTATATCAATATGAAGTCTAGGTGTCCCTGCTGGTGGTGGAGGTGTTTTCCTTGCTATATTAGACTTCAACAAATCTGCAATTAAAAGTCATTTATTTTAATGTTTTAAAATGAGCTTCTTCATATGCAATTAAATAAACAAGTTGTATTAAGACTAATTTTGAATACTGTAAATTAAGAAATTATTGCAAGGTTTTTATTAATGTGAATAATGCAACTCCTTAGTTTGGTAATAATAAGAACTCACATTCTGAAATCTGGTACATATCTGTGTATAGCTTTTCCTAACATCACAATAATTAAACTCACATTTTTGTTCATTCTTCAAAAATGGCAATAATAAATGCATGCAATAATTTCTGAATTTACAGTAACTTCTTTTTATTTTGTTCAAATTAAATATAATTAAATGAATGTTCTCAAAGATTAGTCCATCCTGTGCACACCAGTTTGTAAAGGCATAAAACTGAGAAAAGTATTATGATATCTAATAAAAAGTTCCAAGGTTCTCTTGTGCCTTTACTATATACCATAATTAGTTTTCTTGTTTGAATTATTTTACATTTGTCATTTCAGGGCCTTTTATAGCTGAATATGCATTATGGGTTTTGCTCATTGTTGAAGGCCGTATGGTGACCTATAGTTGTTAACTTCTATGTCATTTGGTCTCTGATGGAGAGTTGTCTCATTGGCAACCATACCACACATTCTTATTTTTATATGAGACTTTTGCATGTATGTTTACCTTGATTTGAGTCTGAAAATTTCATGCCAGCAGGAGGTCCAATCCATCCTGTTGTAGCTGAGTAGGCTTTTGGAGGTCTTCCTGTTGGATCAAATTTGGCTCCTTTTACTGGAACAAAATTATGGTAAACTCAGTAAACTAGAAAATTTAAATGTCATGAAGGGCCCCATTTGCAAATTTTTGACTAAGGCACAGACTGATCATGATGCATCAAAAAAAAATTCCTATTCATGGGTTTTCATTTTTTCATAAATTTATAAAATACAAGCTTTTTTAAAATCCAAGCACTATCTATTTTGTTTGGCATTTTTGTAAATGGTGGGCAACCATTAATTTTAACACAGATAATAATTTGGGAATAGAAGTCATAGTTACACATTGATTTTTATTGAAATCCTAGGTAGATATTTCTAGGCTTAACAAGAAGATACAACTATACATTTTGATTGGGGATTAATAATTCATAACATTTTTTTAAAAATTGTATGTTGCCATTAGAAATCAAATTTCAAACTTCAGAAAAAAGTTTCAAGAAAATGTATGTAATGCATGGTTGACACATATCAACATGACATCATAAAGGAAATAATAAGTTGTTTTTTTTATCATAAATAAGCAATTTTCTGAAACAGTTTGGCTTAGTTAACATAAAGCATATACATTGTCTAAAACAATTTTTGTTCAGTGAATAGATACAGCAATAAAATAAACTTCCTGTGTGAATATCATTTAAGCAACAGTTGTTTTTAACATTATTGTGAGGCATTTTGCATAATTTTGCTATTTTACTGAATTAACCTATCATTGTATGGCGGTATATTTTAAAACAAAATTGCAATATTTTAATAATTGAAGAACATATATTAATGAAAAGGGATAGTATGAAAAAAGACTCAATTTAAGGACCAATTAAGCCCCATAATAATACTTTATTCCAAAAGCAAGCACAGCTTATAGGAGATATATATACAATTTTTGACAAATTAATTATACATGCACCATATCACATAAACAGACATATAACAATAAAATGTTAGCTACATTTAAATACATTAAATCACTCTTATACAATACAATTCTCCTCTATAAAGATACTACTTTGTAAATTAAACTTTACTATTGAATAAGTTTACAAAACATATAAAAATAGGGTCCTATATTGCCCAAGGCAAAGAATAAACAGTAAAAATGTGGTCTTTTTTACAATTATACTACATATAATTAATGGTAAACTTCTGCATCAACTAATATAAATTGCTTCGCCGGGCGCAGCTGGATACGACCGCAGAGGTCTAACCCTGAACAGTTAGGGCAAAAATGGACACAATATTTGCTCTTGATACAGGTCTGAATTTGGATTGTAATTAAATATTTGACACATAATAGGTTTCTGACACAGAATAACTGTAGTCCAAGAACTTAGAATTGGTTATATGATTTGAATTTATATTCAATTTTTTGCTTTTGTGCAATACACTGTGCCTGTGCGAATTGACCCCCCCCCCCCCCCCCCCCCTCCCTAAAAAAATAAATATAAATTAAACAATTTTTTTTTTTGCTTTTGTGCAATACACTATGCTGTTGGGTATTGACCCCCCCCCCCCCCAAAAAAAAAAATCAAAGCACTGTAAGCGCTGTAGGCAGTTAACCAAAAACCAAGGCAACGTAATTATGAAAACTGTGGCAGTACTAGTGTTGCTTCAATTTTTTTTAAAGACTTGAAAGAACAAACATTAAACATTGGTATATTGTACATTTATGTTCATTAAATGAATTGATTATTAAGGCAAATTAATTAATATTTCATCAAGGTTTTCAAAAGCAACTCATATCTCAATGTAAATGACCCCCATCTTCACCCCCCAAGTGCATGATGTTACTCCATACCAAGTTTGGAATAAAATGACAGGTGATAATAAAACAGTTGTTCAAACATTCTCGGGCTTTACACTGCTTGAAAGATTTATGTTTTCTTAAAAATGAGCCATAAATGAAAATTATTATAGGCCCAGAAATAATTTAATAAATAATTAAAGTAAATTCTATTAACCTAGACTCACTTTTTGCATCAATAAAATTTTATAAAAAACAAGAAATAATTGTAACAGGATGCCGTTAGGAAGTCTCCTAAACAAAACCCCCATAATTCGTCATTCCCATGGTCTCCTGACATTGGACAAATTCCAGTTCATCTTGGTTTGGTCTAATAAAGTGATATGCACATGTGACACCTAGGAGATTGACCCTGTATGTCATTCAAATCTTTTTGAAATGATGAACAGGAATAAATATGGTTTAGGTGTGGGTATCTGGACTGTTTACAAGTTCTCAAACAGGAGGAGGTGGGGTGACCCCAGGGACTCCCCCTATATTTCATTTGATTTGTTATATTGTCCCATACATGAATACATATGGTTTAGGGGTGGGGATCTCGACCATTTCCAAGTTCTCAAACAGGAGGGGGTGGGGTGATCCGAGGAACTCCCCATATATTTCATTTGATTTGTTATATTGTCCCATACATGAATATATATGGTTTAGGGGTGGGTATCTTGACTGTTTACAAGTTCTCAAACAGGAGGGGTTGGGGTGACCCCAGGGAATCCCCATATATTTCATTTGATTTGTTATATTGTCCCATACATGAATATATATGGTTTAGGGGTGGGGATCTCGACCATTTGCACGTTCTCAAACAGGAGGGGGTGAGGTGACCTCAGGGACTCCCCCTTTATTTCATTTGATTTGTTTTATTGTCCCATACATGAATATATATGGTTTAGGGGTGGGGATCTCGACTATTTCCAAGTTCTCAAACAGGAGGGGATGGGACGACACCAGGGACTCCCCCAAATTATTTTCATTTGATTTCTTTTATTGTCCCATACTAGTCTATATATTGTTTAGGGAAGGGGATCGCGACGGTTTGCAAGATACAAGTACATTTTCAAATTGAAGGGGGTTGGGATAACCCCCAGGGACTCACCCTATATTTTGGTTGATTTTTTTTATTGTCCTGTTCTCATTACTGAAGACTGCATGTGTCTATCACTTACTGTTTTCGAGAAATAGTCATTTGAAAATTTTAAAAATAAAAATCCAATAGGGTTCTATAGTAAACCTCTCCCTTCTTCAGGCCCCTCCAAATACCCCTAAATAGACCCCAATGCACAAACAAAAGATTAATGGCTCCGCTAGACATGTGAGTCTAATATTTTATGAAACCCTAAGTAAATCTGACAAACGGTCAAAGTTGTCTTCTTAGATGGTTTGAGTAGATTCGGTCCGACTTGTCTAGGGGACAGGTTGTCCACATTACTTAAAACATCCCATCAACTTCGATTTCTGCATCTGTTTCATGACCTCGTTTCATTCATCAAATAACAACAACCTTATTTGGCAAGATAAGTTAAAATTACCGCCCACTTATATAACTTTATTTCCTCTATCATAGAGATTTGTTGTACATGAACAATATTCCTGCGCATTTTGCCATTTGGGAAATATAAACGACTTGTAATTACCGATTTTCGGCGATGAAATATTTCATACAATTGTTCTTTGACATCGTAGCCAAAAGCACAGGGGATAATAAACTACGTACGGATTTCTATTGAGCACTACTTCCTATGTGCAACTTCAAAAGTTTTGGGTAGTTCGACGATCATTTAAGGTTTTTCTGGTCATATTTTTTGTATTCCAGAAATAAAAGTATTAAAAAAATGTCCAATTAGTTATAAATAACATAATAGCCTGCTAGATAATAACAATGGCACGTATTTCAGCATTTATTGGGTAGAACACAAATCTAGGGTGCTCGCATAAGGCAGCTTAACTGCCTAAAAATCCCCCCACCTTTTTTTTGCAAAAAAATAATTTGTGAAGAAATTTTGTTTAATTACTGAAATCTGAAATGAGAAAAATCCCCCCCCCCCCCAATTTCTTTTTTACTCCGACCCCCCCCCCCCCCCCCCCCCCCCCTTTTTTCAAAAAAAAAAAATTCCCTCAAGATATGGTCATAATCTCAATTCAAATTACCAATTGAGTTTGCAACCATAATTACCCATTTAAATACATCATAAAAGTCTTAAATGGATAATTTAAAAGCAGTGTAAGGGAGGTAATCCAACATTGTAAAACATTGTACTATTTTGTTTTTGGATTACCTCCCTTACACTGCTTTTAAATTTTCCATTAACCAGGAAACCCTTGTTTCTCCCCCTTTTTTGCCCCTAATTCCTAAACAGTTTGAGCCATAACCCCCCAAAGCCAATCCTAACCATCCCTTTGTGGTATGGAAACGTGTGGTATAATTTCAGAGAGATCCATACACTTAAACACAAGTAATTGTCTGGAAGTTACAAAAATGCTTATTTTTGGCCCCTAATTCCTTAACTGTTGGTACCATAACCCCCAAAATCAATCCCAACCTTCCTTTTGTGGTATTTAACCTAATGGTTAAATTTCATAGAGATCCATTCCCTTAAACTAAATTTATTGTGCGAAAAACCAATGTGTCTTACCGACTTACAGACGACGACGCCAACGTCATACCAATATACGACTGCAAAAATTTTTTGCGGTCGTATAAAAAAAGATGAAAGAAACAGTAAATATACCAACCTGCTATGCCAGGTGAACGTTGAACAACTTCTTCTTTAGCACTTTGAGGGCGTTGTTTTTTACCAATAGGAGGGTGATGTTTCCTAGCTGATATTTTAGCACTTGAAGGCCTCTGGGATGCTTTTGTGTTGGCTTTAAGAAGTTCAGGTATAGATCCATTACTTCCCCTGAAAATAAAGATTTCCATGTCCTGTAACAACTTAACAGGTAAAAGAAAAATTCTAACCATCATGCTGAAAGATGTCTAAAAGTGAACGAATTGAAATGTAAAGTTCAATTAAGATTTTAACAAAGCTAGCTGTATCTACAGATCTTCAAAAACTCTTAAATATCATAAATGAAATCAGATATTTCATGTATTTCAGGTATACAAGTTTGACCATGAAAATTTCCTCCTTTGTCATAAAATACATATATGTTAGCTATCAAGCTTACCTATTATAATGTTTATAGATTGAAATTCACTGTGCTGAAATGGTTGTGTGTTAATTATATCATATATATTAACTGGAAATAATTTTTATGAGTATGAAATTAATACCTGAAAAAATTCTTAGAGAGTATCGGTATCTACGATCCTAATAATAAATAATTAAATTTTGTCATCTGTCATTTTACATTTGTTTAATGTATTCAACAACAGCTACTTAAGAATCTCTTTCTTTGATTTGTTTTAAGCAGTACCACCCCCCCCCCCCCCCCCCAAAAAAAAAAACGTCCATGAAAGATGGTACTTTCAGAGTATGAGAAACATATTACCAGGCAGTTTTCTGAGAACTAACAGACTGTATTACAGGTTCTGCCACTAGGTTGGTAAAGCTATTACTTCTCTGTGATGTTAAGTTTGTAGCTTTTAGGTCTTTTTTATTTGCCAGTCCAAAGTTATACACAGGCACTGGTTTGACTTGCTGCAGATGGCTTAGTGATACATTTGAGGATTTCAGCCATTTCTAAAAAAGTAAATATGTTGGAATAACAATTATTATTGTAAAGTTATCACAACTTATGTAGACAGACAATGGAATGACAGAAATTCTTAGTTTGAATTAAAGTTACTATGTCTATACACCTTATCGCTATTTGTCTGCCATTACTGATTATCATTGAAGTTCCCGTAAAATTTGATGTCTCAAGAGAAAATGTCTGACGCAACAAAGGAAAAGTAATAGTTGTATGGCGTCAATAGTTCAAGTGTCGCAAATTCTCGGGTCAAGTGTGACACTGTGTCGCATATTCCCAAATAGTGATAAGGTTCATAGGCAATCATTATACTACAAGTACATCTCCTTTTTTTTTAATCTTAAATGCTGATTCAACATACAAAATGTAAGATTTTATAAGACAGAAAACAAAAGCAAAATGAGTTTTAGGGAAAACTGAAGTGATAATTTATGGAGATTTTTGTAAATAAAGATTAAAAAGAAGCTTAATAGTCTATCTTCTTCGATTTCATGTAAATATAATCATATTTTTAATGAAATAATTCTTTATTTTTAATAATAGCATAAAACAGTATGCAACTTGAAACAAACAATGTAATGTGGCACAGTGTTCATTTTTTTGTTCCCGGGCAAGCTAACAGACTTTGTCCTCTTTCACAGGTAACACCTGCCATATTACGACTTTGTCCTGACTTACACAGGTAAGACATAAAGCTTTATTGAAAGTCGGTATATGCAATACAAGTACAAACATAAGCTCTGAAGAGCTTTTAAAACCGACAAAGCAACAATAAAACAAAACATACATATCAAGTCATGCACACATCAATTAAACATAGAAAGCAAGAGTTCATATTCATATATAAACATGCAACACAAAGTTCTTCAAAGCATCTTAAAAGTTAAACATACACCGAAGCATGCAGTCTTATGAGATAAAATCACAAAAGCAAAAATAAAATGGTTTGCACATAAAAAGCACATAGAGTTTAGTTAAGTAACTAAAATTAGCACAAAGCAGCAGAAGCACTATAGTAAAGATAACAATATAATTTTGCCATGCTGAAAACAGCTGTCTCATATTATTAAACAGGTCAGGAATAACCACCAATTGGTGGATTATACCTCAATTGATGTATAATCCACCAATTGACATATAATGGTATAGACCAATTGACGTATAATTCTTTGTTTTTCAAAGCAAATTATTCAACCAAAATGGAGCATTATTTTCGTAAAACCATATTATTGTATGAAAACATGTCAAACATTCCTAGTTTAGTATAGTGACATAACCTATTGCATTTAATCAATAAATGTATTTGCAGTTTCTTCTATTGTTATCTTGTCAATTATTGATTGGCAAATTTACCACTAATCACCGATCAATGGACATCAATACTGTCTGCAGTCATGTGATTATGAGTACAACTCCACAGGTGAATGGAGCTCTTTGTTAATACTTGATTTTCATTATTAAAAGTCAATCATGTTGTCAATAATGGTCAATAGTACAGATGTTTCAACAAAAGAATTGTTGTACACATGCATTCTCAAGAGATGCAGCAGGCTTTGACAAAACTGAAACTTTCGGAGGACTCAATAATGGTCATAAAATAGGTTGTAAGTTGCAAAATGATGCTCCTATCTCACACTGGCATTTTAAAACAAAAAACTTGCATTATACGTCAATTGGTCTATACCAATATATGTCAATTGGTGGATTATACGTCAATTGAGGTATAATCCATCAATTGGTGGTTATTCCTGGCCTGTTAAAATATGGAGATATAAATGACAACCAAAATTATGTATACATCTAGATCTAAGAAAAACAACAATTTCCAAAAAATTACAGTGGAATTAGCTTTTCTTGATTCCTCTGTTTCAGTCCCATACTCATCACTACTGTACGGATTGGCTATGTCATCCATTTATTTGCCTGTTATCGTTATCATATTCATTATGAAAATTTAGTAGAAGGCAGCCATATTGTTTACAATAGTTTCGAGTTGAATATGTACTGATCCTTCTGATTGGTTAATATATGTTATTCTTCCAATCAGAATATTCGTTTTTTTCGCTTTTGGACAGATATCCAACTACCATAGCGATATCTGTCAACAATATGGCGGCACTGGGTCGTGGTGTAACTGTCAAAAACAGTGAAGGTTTGTTTTTACAGATCTGACAGTTTACAATTTTGAGCAGTCATTATAGAAATTTACCGAACACATATTTCAACTTCAGTGTTGATGCAAAAATTTGGAAAATAAAAATGTAATATAATTTTCTCAAAACACCAACTTGATCAGTTTTTTAAGTTTTTATAAGAAGAAGATAGACTATTAAGCTTGTTTTTAATCTTTATTTACAAAAATCTCCATAAATTATCACTTGAGTTTTCCCTAAAACTCATTTTGCTTTTGTTTTCTGTCTTATAATAACTTATAATTAGCAACAACAGAAAATGAAAATTACAAACATCACATAGAAGATATTCAACATTTGTTAGGGGTCTTTATTAAAGATACTGGAAGGTTCACAAAATAGATAGTTAAGGTTTTATAAGGGTTAATTATTTATTCACTTTTTTTTTTTTTTTTTTTTTTTAATTAATTATTCAATTATTTATTTATTTATTTATTTTTCTCTGCAGTGCCACATCATAAATACAAATGTACTAATGAGTTTTATACAAAAGTGACATAAAATTACCAAAGTGATCGAAAGTACAGAGAGATTATAGTGTCAAGTTGACACTTCTAAAGACTAAAGACTTGATGGCTTTATTTTATAAGCAACTGTTTACTACTACTAGGGGAAATGACAAGTTTTTTTTCAAATTTCAAATGAGGAAAATGGTCACTTCACCATCTTTTCACTTTCATAATAACATATTATTGTCAGGAAGTTAGATGTAGATGCAACCAACAATCAATCAATCAATAAACCTTATTGCTATTTTGGAATCTGCATCCCATGACCTTAGAATCTGCAACACTTGAACTATTGACATCACACAACAATCACTTTTCGTTTGTGGCATCAGACATTTTTTATTGTGATGTCAAATATTTACGGTTTGTACCTGTATGATCATCATGATGTCCAGCAGTGGCGAACAAATAGCGATAAGGTGTATACAATAGACAATATTTATTAGCACAAATGCAATTTTGATAACAATCCGTAAAGACTCAATACAAGGCACATTGCATTAAAATACATAGAATATATGAATGGCAACAATCTTTCATTTTCCTGGAAAATTAGATGTCACAAAGCAAATATATTCACATCACAATGTCTTATGTTTTACCCAAATGAGTAACATGTACAACTGTAGGTCAAGTGGCTGTGGGGCAGTTCATTCTTAGACCAAGTCCCCAATTACAGTAAGAAAATCAATAAAATGAAAAAAAAAAAATCTGCTAATTAATGAACTCAAAATTGTTAACTTTTTTTTTCTAACTTTTTCAGTTTCCCACATTTGCGCAGAAATCTCATTCTCTCTTCCAGTCTTGTTTTTCATGGGACTTTGAGTAAAATATAGGAAGGATCATCATATATTGTTTCTGGCAAATTTGTTGTTTTCGATTACCCAAAAAATTATAACAGCCAGTTAAGTAATTAAGATTAATTCCTTACATTTTAAAATGAGTCTGGAGCTTATTCAACATATGATTTTATAGCAAACAAAATGTGTTCTCTTGGGAAACTCACCTGATCAATCCTTCAGATTTCAGTATCTGATAAGATTAACAAGCAAACTTGGTATCTTCGATAAATTATCTTCGTCATTTAAAGATATAAATTATAACAATTTTATTTTATGAAACAAAAAAAACTTTACCTGATGATAGTGTTTCTTTGTTTACATTGAAAATGGCGTCACAACTAGAATCCCTAACAACAGGACCAACATTGGAAACATTTCAGTATTTCCGTCTCTTTTTCGACAGATTCTGAAATTAAAATATGCTTGAATTCCAAAAATAATTTATAACTTTATAAATATAGTCCCCTTTCACAGTTAACTGCCTCATATTAGAATCAAATTTTACTCCAACCATGGCCTTCAATTACTTTAGGGGACCCTGTACTAGTTAGGGTTATGTTTTATGTTAAAAGTTGGGGAAAGATTAGTATATAAATACCTATTTGGGCTGTGTCCTCTAAAGTAAATGAAAGTGAACAATAGGCCTAAATGTAATAGCTTTTTGAGATTCTGTAATACTTGACCTACTATATAAGGGAAAAAAATTTCTTTGTGGTACATTTTTGTAACTTTAAGGCACATAGATGGTAGCTAGCATTGTTATAAATTTGTACCAATTCATTGATATTAAAATTTGCATTTTTTATTTTTGTTGTGTATATGTATTATAATATGTATATATGTGTAATTGTACTGCCTATTCCTGGGAAATAACAGTCAGCTTAACCAAGTAACTTAACACTTAAAGAGTGATAATCTTTATTCTGGTAGATGTACAATAAGTGTTGATAGTTTGTGAGCGGTAAAAAGCTGAAATTGAATAAAATTACATTTACTAAATTACTTATATTTCCAAATAATAAAAGTGTCAAAATTAGCGTTCCATAGAAAATTATGAATTACTTCAAAAGTCAACATGTTAAATATTTTTACATATTTATAAAAAGATATTAATTATGTCCAGTTATTTCCTTCGTATATAATTGTTTATTAATAGCAATGATTATGGCATATACTGCTTTCCATACTTTTATTTTTCAAGCGGAGATCCATTACGTAAATGTTATAACTTATCAAAGATTGTCAATATCGGCAACAGAACAGATAACGTAAATAAACAAATATTGGTCCATCATCAACGCATATGAATTATGTACAGTTACGAAAATAGTAATAATATAGATACGATTAATTGATTATCCTTAGTTCTTGTTTACGAAGTTCATTCACATTTAATGTCATTAAAATTGTTCTTAAAATAATACTGACGAATGTAATTTCACGGAATAGAATTATAAAATGTTTATAATGTAGAACTTACACTGTGGCGGTATCAGAATTCCAAAATTTTGGAAAATATAAGTGTCCGGGGACATCACCTCAACATAATGTAAATAAGAATAGTGTGGAGGCACTGTAAGGGTAACACACGTGAATGGTATGAACAAATACCCAAAAGTATAATAAATGTAACAGCACAGTAATTTTTCAATCATGTTAATCATAGTCTGTGCCAAAACTTTTCCAACTACATGTATTAGTCCAAAGACCAATATTCAGACATTTTCCTTATGTGTCTAAACAAAATTTTGCAAATACCTTCTAGTCTGGAGCATTGGACTAGTGGCTAACTATGCAGACTTTTTAGCTCACCTGGACCAAAGGGCCATGTGAGCTTGAATGCCATCACTTGGCGTCTGTTGTCTGTCGTCGTCATAAACTATTTCAAGAATCTTCTCCACTGAAACAACTAGGCCAAATACCTTCAAACTTTAACTGAATGTTCCTTAGGGTATCTAGTTTATAATTTATATCCGAAGTTTTGATCCATCAACAAACATTGCAGCCATGGCTAAAAAAAAGACATAGGGGTCAATTGCAGTTTTTGGCTTATATCTAAAAAACTAAAGCATTTAGAGCAAATCTGACAGAGGTAAAAAGTTCAATAGGTCAAGATCTATCAGCCCTGAAATTGTTAGACGAACCGAACAACCCATTGTTGGGTTGCTGCCACTTAATTGGTAATTTTAAGGAAATTTTGCAGTTTTTGGTTATCTTGAATATTATTTAAGATAAAGATAAACTGTAAACAGCAAAAATGTTCAGCAAAGTGAGATTTACAAAAAAGTTAATATGACCAAAATTGTCAATTGACCCCTTAAGGAGTTATTGCCCTTTAAAGACAATTTTACACAATTTGTTCATCATGTTTGCTAACATTTAAAAGTCTTCTCCCCTGAAACTACTGGGCCTCATACTTCTAAACTTTAACTGAATATTCCTTAGGGTAATTGGTTTATAAAATGTATCCGAAGTTTTGATCCATTTACAAACATAGCCGCCATGGCTAAAAATAGAACATAGGGGTCAAAACAGCTTTTGGCTTTTATCTCAAAAACTAGCAGTTAGAGCAAAAGTGACAGGAGTTAAAGTGATGAATAAGTCAAATTCTATCTGCTGTGAAATTTTCAGACCAATTGGTGAATTGGACCACCCATTGTAGGGTTACTGTCCTAAATAGTTCATTTTTATAAAATTTTACTGTTTTTGGTTATTATTTTTGATATTATAACAGATAGAGAGAAAGTGTAAAAGGCAAAAATGTTCAGCTAAGTAGGATTTACAAATAGGTCAAATGATCAAAATAGTCAATTGACTCCTTAAGGAGTTATTGCTCTTGAAACGTTTATTTTTTACTTTTTTTCTTGCAAGTCATTACTTTTTCAAAAATCTTCTTCTCTGAAACTACTTTGCCAAATACTTCCAAACTTTAACTGAATGTTCCTTAGCTAAGTAAGATCTACAAATAAGTCAACATGATCAAAATAGTCAATTGACCCCTTAATTAGTTATTGCCCTTAAAACATTATTTTTTTTACATTTTTTGTGAAAGTCTAATTACTTTTTCAAAAATCTTCTCCTATGAAACTACTTGGCCAAATACTTAAAAACTTTAATTGAAGGTTCCTTAGGGTATCTAGTTTATAGATTGTATTCAGGGATTTGATCCATTCAAAAACATGGCGGCAGTTTCTAAAAATAGAACATAGGGGTCAAATGAAGTTTTTGGCTTTCATCTCAAAAACTAAAGCAGTAAGAGCAAAACTGACATAGGTGAAAGTGTTAAACAGTTTTAGATCCACCTGTCAAGTAATCTTCAGACCAATAGGACAACTTATTGTTGGGTTACTGTCCAGAAATAGTTAATTTTTAGGAAATTTTACAGTTTTGGGTAATTTATTATTAGTTTAATATTATTATAGAAAGAGAGAAAGTGTAAATGACAAAATTGTTCAGCAAAGTAAGATCTACAAATACAAATGTAAGTCAAATGCCTGAAACTGAAATTACAGGTGAGCGATATCAGGCTCTCATGAGCCTCTTGTTTTAAAAATAAATAATAATTAGAATAAGATAAAAGCAAGATATGAATTGTGTGCAATACATGTATGTATTTTATAGGTAAGATATATAGTTTATTACTTTTTCAGTTAAATAATGTAACTGTTTTGAATGCTGAGATGTGAGGAGAAGGAATAAATTAAATTGTCTCTCTGATAAAAAAAATCCATCACCATGGCAGATAAAAGAAAGCTTAAAACTGAGTATGTTGTGTCTGGTGGAGTTGACACAAGTTTAACTAAGGACCAGCCCGATGAAGATGAACAAGAAACAATAAAGGAACCAGAAAAACAAAGTAAAAATGAAAACAAGGAACCAGTGGAAAAAACATCGTCAGAAAAAGTACCCCCACCACCTGAAAAACCTAAAGAAATGTCCAGTGATCTAGGTGGCGGGGATTTTCTCAAGACACAAGGCAGTGAAAATCCATTTGATGTAAAAATATCAACTTATAAAATAGATCCAAAACTGATTAAAGTTGATCAGTTTTACCCATCATTAGAACACCAGTTTAATAAATCTAATACCAAATTTCTGGAAGAACAGGATAACAGAGTGGAAAAAGCAATGAAAGAAATAGTGGAAGAGTCTTCAACATTTACCTATGATGAAACAAGTACCAGTGGAATGGAGGATACACAGAATTCTATGGCACTGGTGAAAGCTCCAGAGAAGGCAGAAGAGGAGAAACAACCTGATGATAACAATTCAGCTAAACCACAGGTATGGTTTTGTTTCAGAGTTTGTATGTCTTTTAATGAACCATGTTGAATATGCATGAAATATTTCCCTTTGGCAGTTAAACAAAAAACAATCATACAAACACAATGTTCATGCATTTTTTATAAAATAAAAAACTTGTAATTGAAATGTCTTGTCTTAAAATTTACACTGGTACATGTATATAAAATGTACTACATGTGTAGAGAAAAATTCTGAAAATTTAGTTTGAAAAAATATAATAAAACCACCTTTATGTTCCATTGTGCATCGATTTTGTATTTATTCATGTGCATGCATGTACATTTTATGTTGATATCTCTGTAGAAAAACAGTGAAATTAATTATTGAATGCTGCAATAATACATATTCAAAGCAAAATTACTGTAGTATAAATTGTTAAAACATTATACAGTGAATAGTAAATTCAGTATTGTTTTTTAGAAAGAAAAACCAATGTTTTCAAAAGTTTTCTTTGGGGTGAGAATTAACAAATCAGTATATGCATATAATACACCATACCCTGTTTAGTCTGTTGTTTGGCAATTCTTAAAAAATCCACCCGAATTATCCTTTGTTTATTTAATTCTTGTTTGTTATCACTTAATTGTACCTCATTCTGCATTCCTTCCTGCCTAATATCAAGATTTTATATTTTTAATTTTTTTTGTATTTCAACCTGTTCCTAACTATTGGATGCATTTTTTATTAACCACACATTGTTTCACTTGTTGTATGTGTTTTTTTTTACCTTAATCCTTTCAAGGATTATTATACTCACAGATTGCATTAAACCGTAATGAGAATATGATTTATTACTTATCCTATTAATTATGATCGTCATCCGAACATATATGGATTATCTCCTTATGTCCTACAATCATTTTGTTTGACAATAGTTCTTGAGGTGTATTTTCAAGACATTTTACAAGGACATCATTCGTAAATATAAATCAACATGCATGTAGACATCTTATACTTTCAGGTATTTCAATCTTTTATGGTAATATTCTATACAAAGCACAAAAATGTCATCATTCACCTCAAAAGCTAAACAAACCTTTAAGCAGACTTATTCAGAAGGGATATAGTTACGATACTGTTGTCAGGTCATTAAAGATGGCATATTTTGAAAATAATATTGATTCACTCATAGGGTCTTTGCATTGGAAATAAACACATTTATTCTAAAACCAGTTGTTGGCATGATACGGGTTGGAAGCAAGACAACTCGCCCCACTGCCAAATCGCCCCACACCAAATTGCCCCACTTTTTCACCAACTCTCCCTACTTTCTAAAAAATCGCTCCACTCTGGTTTACCATCTCGTCCCACTTATGACAAAGGGTAAAATCCTGATATTATATAATAAAGGTCTGCCAACTCGCCCCACTTATGAAAACTTATCCACACAGAATAAAACAAATCACTTGTGATACTAATAAAAATCAAAAATTGAATATATGATTATGATTGAAATTAAATGATGCTTCATTTCTTAAAATAAAATTGTAGATACGTTATTTATTATTATGTAATTTTAGGATTTATTGGAGAATAAATTTATTGTTGTTATAAACACCCATGATTCTTGATTTATCTAGTAAAACAGTGATTACATTTACCAAAAAACAAATGTCGTAAACAGTTACAATAGTCAATTAAACATCGTACGTCACAGAAATGCTGATACTTACCTCTTTCTGCTTTATTTCAACCAAAAAAAAAGAGTTAAAAAACAAGATGCATTTCTAAGGTTTTCATCAGTATTCATTTAATTTATAAGTGGGGCGAGTTGGTAGACCTTAATTCAGTACAGTTTAATTCTTTTATTCAATAGTTGGGCGAGTTGGCAGACTTTTATTCAATGGGATTAAACTCCTTTTTATAAGTGGGGCGAGTTGGTAGTCATTTATGCAGTAAGACAACAAGATGTTATTCTTTTTTTCATAAGTGTAGCGAGTTGGTAGGACTAAATTCATCAGGATTTTACTATTTTTCATAAGTGGTGCGAGTTGGTAGACCTATATTCAAGGGATTTTAACCTTTTTAATAAGTGGGGCAAGTTGGCAGACCTATATTAAATGGGATTTTACCCTTTTTCATAAGTGGGGGGAGTTGGCAGGACTAAATTCATCTGGATTTTACTATTTTTCATAAATGGGGCGAGTTGGCTGACCTTTATTCATCGGTATTTTAACCTTTTTGATAAGGTGGGCGAGTTTGAAGACCTATATTCAACGGTAAACAAGAGTGGGGCGATTTTTTAGAAAGTGGGGCGAGTTGGTGAAAAAATTGGGCGATTTGGTGTGGGTCGATTGGGCAGTGGGGCAAGTTGTCATGGATTCATACGGGTTATGTTCTCATATATGTTATGATGGTATGATACTAAACCCCTAACAGGAGGGATTGTGCTTGTTTTTCATATGATGGAGACATAATTTTTCAATCAGTTTAATTGAGGTCTGGAGCTGGCATGTCAGTAACTGCTAGTAGTCCTTTGTTAATTTATGTATCATTGTCATTTTGTTTAGTTTCTTCTGTTATCTATTCTGACATCGGATTCCGACTTCTTTTAAACTGAGTTTTAATGTGCACATTGCTGTGAGTTTGTTTGTTCTACATTGGCTAGAGGTATAGGGGAGGGTTTGAGATCTCACAAAACATATTTAACCTTGCTGCATTTTTGCGCCTGTCCCAAGTCAGGAGCCTCTGGCCTTTGTTAGTCTTGTATGTTTTTTTAATTTTAGTTCTATTATATGTTTCGAAGTTTAGTGTGAAGTCCATTTTCACTGAACTAGTACACATTTTTGTTTAGGGGCCAGCTGATGCCCGCCTTAGGGTGAGTGATTTTTCCGCTGTGCTGAAGACCCATTGGTGGCCTTGGGATGTTTTCTGCTCTTTGGAATGGTCGGATTGTTGTCTCTTTGACACATTCCCCATTTCCATTCTCAATTTTAAGAAAAATAGAGTTCTATTCTAAGCATCTTTTACCTCATTTTTACCACCACAAGATTCGCAAAGGTTGTACAAAATTGAAATGAGAGACGAAATCACAATTATAGTGTTGCAGATGTTTTCATTAAACACATGTTAAATTCATATCCATTTTTGATCAGTGATATTAATAAACAATCATTGATTCATTACACATGAAACATGTATATCTATCATATAGAAAAGAAGATGTGGTAAGATTGCCTGAATGAGACAACTCTCCACAAGAGACCAAATGACACAGAAATTAACAACTATAGGTCACTGTACGGCCTTCAACAATGAGCCAGTCAGCTATAAAAGGCTCTGAAATGACAATTCAAACGAGAAAACTAACGGCCTAATTTATGTACAAAAAATGAACAAAAATTAAATATGTAACACATAAACAAACAACAACCACTGAATTAGAGGCTCCTGACTTGGGACAGGCACATACATACAGAATGTGGCAGGGTTAAAGATGTTAGCGGGATCCCAACCCTCCCGCTAACCTGGGACAATGGTGTAACAGTACAACATAAGAACGAACTATAAAAATCAGTCATACATGTATATGATATTTTACAGGCCTACATTATAGAGTTAGCTCATTCCTCTCTTTACATTTTGTGTATTTGCAATTGACCAATTGTTAGTTTTGAAACTGTTCAGTAGTAGTGATAAGCTGATGTGATCTATAGATACATGTAAGGTTTGAACATTGGCTACTCAGCAAGGACAGTCAACAGGCCACATGTTCAGTTGGTTATATTTAGTATATACATGTACTGGTACAAACTCTTCATATATTTAAATGTTTTTTATTCTGTTCAATGTGTAATAATTTCTACATTAAATTTTTCCTTTTAATAATTCCTTAAATATATGATCCAGTATTATGTCCCTTAATGGCAATTTTTTTTTTTCAACAGAACTCAAATTTCTGTCTTTATTGAGAAAAATATATTGACCTTGATTTACATTTTGTCATAAGCTTAACATAACATAGACAATATTGGAAGTTTCAATTGGAAACACTTTTTCAATTGTAATTTATTTATCTTTTTTGCAAAATAATAACCTAAACTGGCAGACCATGGGCCAATTATAACTATTTACAAATTATACCTTCCTCAAGAAAAAATGAAAGTAATGAAACTCATTGTAGCATATTGTGTGTAAATAAATAGAAAGATATTGTAATGTCATAAATATGTTAATGCTATAATTAATATACAATTATTTTACAGGCAGCATCAAGTGTATTTGCTACAGCTGTAGATGAACAAACTTTAGACGATGCTAAACGTCGTCAACAGACCCTGTTTCAACCAGAGTCGTGGGAACCAGTTAGTAAATATTCACCAGGAATGCAAGAGATAATTGATGCCAGGGCAAATGAACAGTAAATAAACTTATTATATGCATAAAATAGGTGTTTTATTATGGTACTGAGTCATGTAAGTTTCTGCCACCCAAAATTGTCCTTTTAATATTTCTTCTCAGTATTTCATGTAGTATAAACATTTTCACCAGGTGATCGCCTCTTGGAGGAACACAGTAAGAAATCAATGTTAATTCAAAAATTATATTGGAAATTGTATACTAGCTAATAAAGAAGAATTAAATTGCAAATAAAAATTGTAATGATTTGTATAATTTCTATTTTCCAGTTTTGACAAAGCTATGGAACTTAAGGAGAAGAAAGACTTTACTGGAACTATTAACTTTATCAACAAATCTTTAGCCTTGAGAGACTTACATATTTATTACGTAGAGAGAGCAGAAGCTTACATCCAGTTATGTGACTTTCAGTCAGCCATTTTGAATTACAAAAGAGTGTGTTTAATGGAACCGGAAAATGACGATTATTATAAAAGACTTGCATTCTTGTTTTATTTCCAAGGACAAACTTTATTTGATCAAAGACTTTATCCTGAAGCTCTAGAAGCATTTGCCAGAGCTGCAGAAATGGCACCAGATAATGTGGGATATCATATTAGGAGGTATTATTAAAGCAATATTAGCATGTGCAGTATATATATATGTATCTCAGAAATCATATAAACTAGCTAGGTTCTCATAATTTTAATAAATACTGATTGTTTGTCAGTGTTGGTTCATGTGTGTCTTTCTCTGAGGAGTTTGTGGTAATGGTGTGATCTATTGAACTCTCCAATATTTTTGGTAATTCCTGTTATTTTGTTCCATGCATTTTTTGCCATATGAATAAAAGGAGATATCAAGGAGACAGCAACCCAACCCCACAAAAACTAAAAGACAATTAGAGATCAACACTGGGGTCTTCAACAATAGACCTATAAGTCTATATACCATGGTCTAGAAAATTGTGAATAAAGGAGAAGATACTTTTGGGGTTAACTTAGTATTGTAAATTCACCGCATATAAAGCATTAAGTGATACCACTACTAATCAGTTTTTTTAGTGTTATTAGACATACTTTCAAAAAATGTGAATACTAGCCAAGGGTTATCATGTTAAAATGCTTAATTGAGTTTAAACCAAAATAATACAAAATACTAAGTCCATGCCTGCAAACAATAATGGAAAAATTCAAAGTTAAAGGTATGATATAAGTTTGGCTAAATTTATCACGTTGTTCAACTTTGCATATCAGATCATTTAATTGTTGGGCTTTTTTTGAAAAATTTGTCTCATGTTTTTTCTGTTTTCAGTATGACATGTTTAGCAGCCTTACACAGACATGGAGAATGTTTAGCATTAGTAAATAAAAGATTAGAATCTGAAAATGACAATCCTGATCTTTATATAATGAGGGCAAGATTACATGAAATGTTTAGAAATGTAAGTAATCCCAATATTTCTTTAAAAAGAGCAAGATTGAATAAATTGTTCATCTATAAAATAAGTCTTGACATTTATAAAAAGAACAAGCATTAATGAATTATCAAAACTGTAAACCTGAACTTCATATTGAAGGAAATGTGAAGAAAAGAAGACAATAGTCTTGATATGGTATAATAATATAGTAATGACATATTTAGAAACATAAATCAAAAGATATGAAATAGTAAATGCAAGAGAGATCCATTTCTAGGTGATTGCTTCATATCATAATTATATAACTTGAAAACCCCTAAAAGAATGAAATAAAATGAAATAGGTACATTACTGTTTTGTAAAATTTGTAAAATATGCAATTGCATAGACATTTCTACTTTTATGATTAAAGTATCTAAAATAGTTTTTTCTCTGCATTTTCTATCTTCAAAAGAATTAAGGATTTTATATAAAACCAATAAAAGTCATTATTGCTGATTTAACATTTGATTATATAAGTTGTTTTAGTTGTTAATCTCTTAGGTATTACTTTGTTTCAGACCACATTGTGTTATTATGATGTGAAAGATGCCATGAAGTTAAATGAAGACCATCCTGAGGCCAAAGCAATGATGATTAAACTGGAAAAACGTGCTCTAGAGAATAAACATCATGCCATGCAATTGAACCTGCTAGGAAAACATAGAGAGGCACTGCAAAAAATATCTGTTGCCATAGAAACTGACCCAGCAGTAGCAGATTTTCATGTTCTTAGGTAATGTAAATTTTGAGATTGATAAAGTTTGATGGAACTCAGCTAAACAATTCCTTTATGCATTATATACCATTAGACCACACAGAACTTAAGTGATGTTTATATTTAGAAACACTAGACAAGAGTATATGTTTTGTAAACAAAAAGCTGCATTATTTAAAAAAAATTATAACAGACATTTTATGGTAAAACTTATCATGAGATATAAAATAATACAGGCATGATAGAAAAAAATCTCCCTTTTTGCACTTACAATGTGGATGTCAAAAGTAAAAGTTAGCTTAAAGTTGGTAGTTAATATCTCCTATCTTTTCTGTTGATTCTCATAATCAATCAGAACTGTGGGGTACTTATATTTCTGCCTAATATTAGTGTTTTATAAAATATAAAACAAACTGTTCTGTGGACAGAGCTTCAACATTTATGTATTTACTACCTGTTCAGATCAAACTTAAGCTAGTCCGAGATTGCACTGACATCTCACAGCCTAATTAGGACTTGCTTAGGCAAAAGCCCCAGCAAGTCCTCCAAAGTTCATCAGATGTCAGATCATTCTCTGACAAGCTTAAATAAGTGAAATTTCAGAACAGAAATAGTTGAAATTCAATTTAATACAATGCAAACATTTAAGAAATTTATAAACATCTTATGGTTGACTTTTTTTCAGGGGAACATTACACAGAAGATTGGCAGATTTCAATGCTGCAATAGACGATTTCTTGTTGGCGCTAGATAAATGTGACCACAATGAAGAGAGTCCTGTATATATAGAATCACAAAGACAACTTTTGTTGACTTATAATGATTTTGCTGTGGAATGCTTTACCAAAGGATTTTATGATGAAGCTATAATACTATTAAATAAAGCGATTAAGGGAGAGAAGCGAGAAAAGGGACTTTACATCAACAGGGGAGGTAATTAGCTAGTTTTATGATTTACATTAGTTTTTGATTCAAGATGTGTTTTGGTACTTAGAAATCTTTTTATTATTGTGTTTGCATCTTTTTTAATTTTTTAAACAGGAGGAAGTACAAATTTCTTATATTTCTGACTCAGTTATATACCTATAATGATGCAACAAAATGGTCTCCAGAAATAAAATGCTTGCAGTATTCTTTAAAATACTTTTCCATTCATTATATGCTATATGTTTCAATTCGAAGAATTGTAAACCATCATTTCAGAAATAATCTGGTTTTTTTTTCAGATTGTTTCTTTAGACAAGGAGATTATAATTTTGCCTTACAAGATTACCACCAAGCCTTAGACCTAGATCCCATGGACAGCAATGTAAAAAACCGAGTGTCAGTTATTTATAATGAATATGCCACTGTAGCATACCAAGATAAAAACTACCCTGTGAGTATACTTGTGCCAAAATTGATTTTTTAAAGGTGTAACTAAAAGAATAACTTAATTCTATGTAGTATTTGTAGTTGGTGAAATGAGTAGTGTAATATAGTAGAAACATGAAATAACAGAAAATTCAGTGAAAAAAAAATATAAGTAAAGTCAAGAAAAATAAAAGAGTTAATATTTAAATATTACTGAAAGGAGATGTAGGGGAAATGTCAATGAGACAGCAACCTATTAATATATGGCTTACAAAACTGGAATCAGGAAGTTGATATGACTTTTAATGAAAAAGCAGATTCTCATACAAGCTTTGATTCATTTCACAATTAAAACTGGAATGTTGTATTCTTAAATTTGTTGTTTGCTGTGAGCCTATGACCCACTAAATCTACTAGAATTAAGTATCCCACAAATAAAAATCAATAATAGTAATTTTTCCAATATGCACAGGTGTTCTTTATTTGGTTTTCCTCAAAAAATATTTGAGACTTTTAGATTTTTAGTATTTGTTCTCAAGCACCACTGACAATGGGCATCAAATTAACATCTGTATCTTGTAATTCTGTATTCCATTTGAATATTAATCCAAGTTTTGTAATACATACTGAATGAGTATAATTCTATAACTGTATTGTTCTTTTATACAGGAAGCCGAATCAAAATTTACTCAAGCACTGCAGTACAATATTAAGATGGGGAGTTACTATATATCTAGGTCCAGAACCAGATATATGATGGAGGTAGGTAAAGATAGTAATTAGGAAGTTTGTTGCTTTATGTGGATGCCTTTATTATCTTTAATTTTATGGATTTAGTTTTAGTCTCGCCTGTTTCTTGTTGCAGAGGTGACATTTAGGTGTGCTGTATTTCTGTTGTTGGTGATGTCAACAATTGTTTAAGTTTCTTAGGAAGTAACACAGGCATTAGCATCACATCTGAATTCAATTTAATGCTTATAATTCCAAAGTCTACAACATTTGAAATTTTGTGAAGTTGGAACAAAATGTTACATGTTGGAACAAAATATAGTTAGTTATTTAGTATTTTTAGCAAAATTGATGAAATGCTGACTTTTTTATGATGTTGAAGATTTAATGTGAAATGCAATTAAAAGAAGTGAATGCATTTTCTGATATTTAATGGGTTTTTAATGTTGCAATTTTTAAGCAGGCAGTGCATTTCATAAATTTGCAGTATATGTATTCTACAATATAAAAGGAGAAAGTAAGATAAGGCCATTTTTTGGCCCATTGAATTTGAAAATAAGAAAGAATAAAAATCTACCAAATAATATCCTTCAAGTGATCATAAGACATTAGACTAAGTCTAAAAGATATCAGTATTTATATTTATGAATTTTGTCTCAATATTTGTATTAATTAAAAAAAACCTTTTCTTCTTGTAAAAAGACATATAACTTCTCCTCATTGGTTTTATTTTTAAGAACATGCAAGGTAGTAGACCTTCTCCTCATTGGTTTTATTTTTAAGAATATGCAAGGTGCTAGATCTACTTTTCATTGATTTTGATTTTTTACAATATATATGCAAGGTGCTATCCCTTTTCTACATCAATGCTTATTTTTTGTCTTGTCGACAACTTCTGTCGCAGAGAGGAGACATCTAGGGATAATGATCTGGCGGCGTTAACTTATTGCTTAAAAGCTTAATATTTCAGAAGGTAGAAGACCTGGATGCTTCATACTTTGTATATAGATGCATTGTGTTTTGAAGTTTCCGTCTGTCATATGTCCATTGGCCTTGACCTCATTTTCACAGTTCAGTGATAAAAGTTAAGATTTTGTGATTTGGTCTATTTCTCAGATATTATAAGTGTTAGGTCAATTATATTTGGTGTTTGAAAAGATTGTAAGGTGTACATGTCTGTCTGACAGGGTTCATTTGACCTTGGCCTCATTGGTTAATGATAAGTTTTTTGTAATTTTTTCAATTTATCAGATACCATAAGCAATAGGTCAATTTTATTTTTTGTATGGAATGGTTGTAAGGTGTACATGTCTGTCTGGCAGGGTTTATATGACCTTGACTTCATTTTCATAGAAAATTGATAATGTTAAATTTATTTGATACTTTCATATTACAGCTTTCAACATGAATTCAATGATAAATAAAACAGGTGAAAGAAACATTTCAGTATCAAATATGCAAGGTGCTTAACCTTCTCTTCAATGGTATTATTTTTTAGAATATGCAAGGTGCTAGACAAGACTTGATCATGGGACTTCTATTAGACCCTACCAATGAAGAGGTTCTGTCCATCCTGTCCAGATTGTTTCCAGGGAAGTCTGTTGGTGATGTTGTCAACAGTAGGGCTGCTGACCAGGCCAAAACAATCCTTCGTGGCATACTGTATCCCAAAGTGTTAGTGCCTAAATCATCAACTGCAAGTGCTAGGTAATTGTACCATAGTCTCACAAATTGTAATATCCCCTCTACTCATCTCATATATAAGACATCTTTAAATTTTTTAGAACAGTATTTTATTTGTAACCTTTTTTAAAATTCCTCTTTTTATTGGAGTTTGTTTGCCTGTTTGCCCTTTTTATAAGGTCACGTTTCCCCTGTTGAAATGAGAGTCCATCTTATCTATTTATCATAAAATGGTTAAGAGAAACAATATTGTCTGCCACCAAATAGAGGTCTTTATGCACAGTTTGTAATAGATTTCTTATTAAAGATTATGATGGCATAGAAATATAGTATATAAAGTACTTATTACAAAATTTTATGAATAAATCTTTAATTACCCTAGCCCTGTAACAACTCCTAGATGACCATAGGGATTTAAAAAAAAAAAAAATCAGTTAGGTTTATGACACGTACAGAAAAATTGCATTTATTCCAACAAAGAAAAGTCCATAGATAATGTATGACTTTGTTTATTATGATATATATTTTCGTATTTCACATTTATGGTGACAAGAAAATAAGCTGTAAATGAAAATACAGTCAAACCTCGTTGTGTTGAAAACTCGGATGAGTCGAAGTAATTTCTCGGTCCCGGCATAATTCCCGTTTGATCAATGCATTTTAACCTCTGATGAGTCGAACTCGGATGATTCGAATTCTCGGTTAAGTCGAGGTAATTCTCAAGTCCGGTCGATTCAAAATTGATGTAAATTGACCCCGATGTCTCGAAGTTCAAAAGTAAGAAATTTTGAAAGAAAAAAAAACTTTAAAAATAAAAATCATAACGGATGTTTTTCTTGTTTAACCTGATAATTTTCATAAGTGATTAAAGCTGTGTAAACATACTTGTTTGTATAACAGTTAAAATGACATGTTTATGGTGACCGGTAATTAACACCTTTGTTGATCGTCCAAGCGGAACTTTAATGTGCTGGCCTGAACATATTTCACCTGGTATAAAAACGAAACAAATTTAAATGACCCAAGCCGAGATTAAATTAACCGTTAGAATAAGAACAATAATTAAAAGGATTAAAATAGTTAATGAATGATTATGAGTCAGTCTTTTAATCTATGAAAACTGTTCACATTCCAAAAAGATCAGTTATGAAAATATTTTTACTTTGCTATAAAAGGGGTTGCATGGCCATAATAGTTCATTCTTACAGTACGCGATGTTAGCTGAACAATCTAGTGAAGGCACCGGGTCATCCGGGGGGATAGCTAGATCGGCTAAGAGAAAACTCAATGTCAAATCAATAGAAGATAATTACTAAGCCATACTAGAAGTCGAAAGGGCCTCAAAACCCAAATCAGAAATTGCACACAGTTATGGTGTTCCAGCAAATACATTATCCATTTGGATAAATAGTGCTAATAAAATTAAAGAAGCTTACCAACAAAGTAGTTTTGCCCCTGAAAGAAAATGTATGAGAACTGCAACTTCTGAAAATGTTGAACACGCCTTACTCAAATGGTTTACAAGTGTAAGAGATCGAAACTTACCTATCTCAGGTCCAATGCTAACAAAAAAAGCAGAGGAATTTGCAAAAAGACTAGATCTCCCAGAATTTAAATGCAGCAATGGTTGGCTTGATCGTTTTATAGATCGCCACAACATCACATTTAAGAAAATTTGTGGAGAGGCAAAATCTGTTGATGTTAACAGTGAAGCTATGAACGATTGGGTAACAGAATTGAAAGGCATAATGGCAGAGTTTACACCAGATAACATTTTCAATGCTGACGAGACTGGGCTATTTTTATGCAGTTAAGCTGCATTATGCTACCACCCTAGATTTGTGTTCTTCCCACTGAATGGTTTAAAAAGTGCTATTGTTATTATCTAGCTGGCTTATATGTTATTTATAACTAATTGGGCACTTTTTTCATACTTTCAAATTTGGAATAGAAAAAATATGACCAGAAAAACCTTAAATGATCATCGAAGTACCCAAAATTTTTGAAGTTGCACATAAGAAGTAGTGCTCAAAAGAAATCCGTACGTAGTGTATTATCCCATGTGCTTTTGGCTAAGATGTCAATGAACAATTGTATGAAATATTTCATCGCCGAAAATCTCTAATTACAAGTTGTTTTCATTTCCCAAATGGCAAAAGGCGCAGGAATATTGTTCATGTACACCAAATCTCTATGATAGAGGAAATAAAGTTATAAATATATAGAAGTCTCAGTTGGCGGTAATTTCAACTTACACGAACCGTAAGCAAGTAAGTATTCTGATGTTATAAAGTAAGTTTTGTTAATCATGATGTTCTTTTCGTTTAACATGTTTAAGAAGATTGTGATTATTTAATTGATTTTAATTAAATGTATGCACATTTAAATTCCCTTCTTTTATTATATTATTCCGTATCACTGACTTGCCAAAGTTGTTGTTGTTAATGAATGAAACAGATCCGAAAATCGACGTTGATGGGATGTTTTACGAAATGTGGACAACTCATCCCCGAGACAAGTAGGACTGTCTAAAAAGACAACTTGAACCGCTTGTCAGATTTACTTAGGGTTTCATAAAATGTAAGACTGACATGTTTAGCGGAGCCATCAATCTTTCGTTTGTGCATTGGGGTCTATTTAGGGGTATTTTGAGGGGCCTTAATAAGGGAGGGGTTTACTATAGAACCCTATGGGATTTTATTTTTTTTCATTTTTCAAATGACTATTACTTGAAAACAGTAAGTGATAGACAAACACAGTCTTCAGTAATGATAAGAGGACAATAGAACAAATAAATTAAAATATAGGGTGAGTCCCTGGATCATCCTACCCCCTTCAATTTGAAAATGTGCTTTTATCTTGTAAACGGTTGTGATCCCCACCCCTATACCATATATATACTTGTATGGGACAATAAAACAAATCAAATGAAATATAGGGGGAATCCCCAGCATCACCCCACCCCCTTCTGTTTGAGAACTTGTAAACGGCCGAGATCCCTACCCCTACTGCATATAATTTCTTGTATTTGCCAATAAAACAAATCAAATGAAATATAGGGGAGTCCACAGGGATCACCCCACCCCTTCATTTTGAAAACTTGTAAACGGTCGAGATCCCCACTCCTAAACCATATATATTCATGTAGGGGACAAGATAACAAATCAAATGAAATATAGGTGGAATCCCTGTGGGCACCCTCACCCCCTTCTTTTCGAAAACTTGTAAACGGTCGATATCCCAAACCTTACACCATATATATTCTTGTATGGGACAATAAAACAAATCAAATGAAATATAGGGGAGTCCACAGGAGTCACCCCACCCCCTTCTTTTTGAAAACTTTGTAAACTATCGAGATCCCCACCCCTCAACCATATATTCATGTATGGGACAAGAGAACAAATCAAATGAAATATAGGTGGAGTCCCTGTGGTCACCCCACCCCCTTCTTTTCGAAAACTTGTAAACGGTCGAGATCCCCACCCTTACACCACATATATTCTGGTATGGGACAATAAATCTAATCAAATATAAGGGGAGTCCACAGGGGTCATCCCCACCCCTTCTTTTTGAAAACTTGTAAACGGTTGAGATCCCCACCCAGAAACCATATGTATTCTTGTATGGGACAATAAACTAAATCAAATGAAATAAAGGGTGAGTCCCCTGGGGATCACCCCCCTTTTTGAGAACTTATAAACTGTGAGATACCCACCCCTAAACCATATTTATTCCTGTTCGTCATTTCAAGAAGATTTGAATGACATACAGGGTCAATCTCCTAGGCATCACATATGCATATCACTTTACTAGACCTAACCAATTTGTACTGGACTTTGCCCAATGTCAGGCGACCATGGGAATGACGATGTATGGGAGCTTTGTTTGGAAGACTTGGTAACAGCATCCAGTTAAAATTATTTCTTGTTTATTATGAAATTTAATTGATGCAAAAATAAGTCTAGGTTAATTGAATTTACTTTAATTATTTTTTGAATTATTTCTGGGCCTATAAAAATTTTCATTTATGGCTCATTTTAAAGAAAACATATAAATCTTTCAAGCAGTGTAAAAGCCCAAGAACGTTTGACCAACTGTTTTATAATAACCTGTCATTTTATTCCAAACTTGGGATGGAGTGACATCATGGACTTGGTGAAGGTAAGGGTCATTTACATTTACTATGGGCAGGTCAATCAGACCTCACCTTTGATCCCTGTAGTAGTAAACCTTTGGCTGATTTGTGTCTCATAACTTTTGTACTGTAGAACCCAAACTCAGTGTTCCTGCCAGGGTAGCAAGTCCATTCATACTATTACAAACTCGTACTACGTCAACTTGTACCACTAAAAGTCAACTGGTACCAACGTTAACTACCAACTAGAACAAATGCAATCATTGCGAACTTGTACCACTGCAAACTCATCATTAAAAATATACATTGATATATGCATTGCTTTTGAAAATCTTGAGATAAAATATTAATTAATTTGCCTTAATAACCAATTCATTTAAAAAACATACATGTACAATATACGAATGTTTCATGTTTGTTCTTTTAAATCTTTAAAAAAAATGAAGCAACACTGCCACAGTTTTCATAATTACGTTTGCCTTGGTTTTTGGTTAACTGCATATAGCGCTTACAGTGCTTTGATTTAAATTGTTGCCAGAAAAAACTTTAGAGTTCAAAGGTGTAGATTGCAGTGGTGGTAAAAGAAGTAAAGAGAGACTAACAGTTATGGTGTGTACAAACATGTCCGCTTCCGAGAAAGTTGAAATACTTGTCATTGGGAAATCAGTTAACCCAAGGTGCTTTAAGAATGTCAAAACGCTACCAACACAGTATGAGGCGAATAAAAAAGCATGGATGACATCAGAAATCTTTACCAAACTGGTTAAACAAGCTTGACAAGAAATTTTAACGGCAGCAACGGAAAGTAGCAATGATAGTTGACAACTGCCCTGCTCATTGGCACGTTAAAGGCTTGAAAAGTATTCTGCTGGTTTTAGACATGCCGGTTTCAGTGTTGACATTGAGTCCGGAGTAAGTGACAACAAGAAAAAGATGATATTCCATTAGCCGGTCTTGCAGGATTTACTTCACAGAATACGCCAACATCGACAATGATATTCCAACCACTGAGCCACTAACAGACGACGATATTATCAACGAGATAACTTCGACAATGAAAGAAACAGAAGAAGACAGTGAGGAAGATGATATGATAACGAAAGAAAAACCCGTTCTGAGCTTGTCTGCCATGGTTGAGATGATCAGTCATACTTTGAAGATCAGGACAATACAGAAGATTTGCTACCACTACTCGCCAAGATCAACAACTACTTCACCAGAAAACAGGTTAAAAGAAAGATGATCGCAAAGCAGACGACCCTCATGAGTGATCTTTCAGGACTTGTTTCGTTTCGCGAGTGATTCCAGAATTTATAGTGATTTACCTTTGTAAATATTTGTAAATTGATTTTATTTGTGAATGTTGTTTGTTGCATCTGCATGTACTTGTGTGTTTAATTATTATGATGGAATTTATGAATAGCTAGTGCTTTAACCTTTCAAAGATAGTAGTGCTTGTCTTTTGTCTTTTATGAAAATAAATGTATGCTTTCTTACCTGATAATTTATTTGCTTAGTAAAGAATAAACTACGTTAGCTGTGTTTACATTTTTATTTATAGAAAGAAAAAATACGGAACATGAATACACAATCATATATTATCATATTGAAAAAGGCACAATGATCAATATACATGTATCTAGTTTACAGAAATCTCATATTGGTATTTCATACATTTCAAATATATGACGTCACACTCAAACCTCTGATAAGTCGAATACTTTCATCTAGTCCCTTTGACTTTGACACAACGATGTTCAACTGTAACACTTTCTAAATTTTGTGCGTCCTAGGTGCTTACTGGATTTACCTTCATCCGCAATGCTCAAACCCAAACATTTAACTGTAAAAGTAACAGCTGAGATCATTCTGCATAAGTGTAGCTATCTTCAAAGGGAAAGTAGAAAAATATATTTTTCTTTTAATTTAGTTTAGCCGATGTAGTAGAAACTACAAAAGACCCTGGACTAATGTCAGCATCTGTGAAGTCAACTTGGAGTCAGGAAGATGCTGACATCTCTAATGTGGAGGAGAGAATGTACAAATCAGGAAGTTGTTTCCCCGACCTGAAAGCTTGCATGGATGAAAGAGATTTCAACTTAAAGCTTGCAGAAGAAAAGAAACAGGTAAATTATCAATGTTATATTGAAATCAGGAAATGACTTGTAATGAACATAGTTGAATTCAAAATACAGGGTTTTAAAAAATAGGACCTTACTATAAGATTTTGTTCACAGATTAATTTCTGATACTTCATACATTGTAATCTATTTTATATTGTTATTGTTTCCTATATGGGTTGATCTCTTTAATTCATTATTCAAATTTTATCAGAAAAGTCATGGATAAAATATATATACAAATATTACCTAAAAAACCTAAAAAGATATTTATGAGACCGGTCAACCATGTTGCCTTTTGGTAATTTCCCCTGTTTATTTTAATTGTAAGACTTACAATTTTTGTGCTGTGTGGTATTATATTTAAGAAAATTGTGTTTTAAATGTAAGATTTTGATATAAATAAAAATCTGTTTTTATTACAGGTGCATGAGGATGTTAAAACTGTGATGATAGAAAGAAGAACTTTGAAATACTCAGGTGGAAGGGTGTGTCCCTTACCCCCTCCCTCAGCCAAACCAATGTATGGGGGTCGTGCATTTAAGAGAAAATCCAGATTAGCTGAAGAAAGTGCCAATAAAGGAAGTAGTACAAACTGGAGACAATTTACACAAGGAATTCCAGTTGTTGATGCTTGAATTAAACAAGGGAGATAATATATAATTTGAACATTGAGTTATGTCCCACGACCATAATAACTGGTAAATTCAGAGAGTTTACATTTGGAGCATTCAGAAATATGTAAGACAATAATCACTGCCAGTTCGGTGGAATGCCAACACATAGAGTGCTGAATGAATTAAACGTCATAGATGTCACAGGATGTGGTGTGTTACACCAACTTAAGTGCTGAAAATGTTTCATGTCAAATTATGAGTGCCAATTGTATGAGCATTAATTACATTGTCATAAACTAAATCATTATCATAAGCTACTCTGTCTCAAAATAACAAACTATTTAAAAGACTGTTATAAGTTGAAAGTATATGAATAAAGGAACTAAAAAAGCAGAAAAAAATGAAGGGTCCGTGTGTTTGTTTTCGAGATATAAGCCATTGAAAATTTGGCGGGAAATGATTCTCTCTAGACTTTTCATACATTTAACATTGGCACCCTTTTTCTTTACAAAATTATGAAAAAATAACAAGGATTTTATAGCATTTTCAAATATGGCTTTTTAAACTATATGTAATAAAATTATGAAAAGAAAAGTAGAGGTTAGCAGGGAAATTTTTTTAATGGCAGTACATGGATAAAACCAGAGGATTCCGAATATCTGGCAAAAATTCAAAAACAAGAGGAGCGAACATCCTTAATGTATTTATTTTTCTTCCTTCTAAGTAAAACCACTATTTAATTAGATATTATGAAATGTGCTGAACTGATTGATATGTTGCATGAAAGTTTGAAAAAATATTAAGAAGATTGTTAGCTAATGAATAATAATTTTTTTTTTCTTGGAATAGCTTTCACTATGTACATTAGAACTGAAACAAACATTATATTTTCTGGAAACTTGATCAAAATTTCAGTGCTTTTTATTTTAAAACATAAACAACAACAAAAAATACTTACAAGTATTTGTTTGTATAAAGTTTTTTTTTGTTAGACAGAGGTGCTTTTCAATGAAAAAAATAACTTTTAAAAATAGTTTCAAAACTTTTTTATTACAAATGTACAGAGCACTAAGGCAATTTAATTGGTCAAATGAAGTGCAGTGATTTATTTATTGTAGTCGGATCATGGTTATAAGATTATATCTGCATAGTAATGTATGTAGGAATATTCATTTATGCTACTGTATTTAATAATAAAAAGACAATTTGTAAGACAAGTACTCTTAACTTATTAAATAATACATAACATGCTTATGAAATAACTCATAATTTGTAATGGAGACAAACTTTTAACATGTGATGTACCAAAGCAAATTGATAGACCCAACGTGGATTGCCAATGATGAAAGCAAGTTATCTGTGATACATTTGTGATATTATTTTAAGAATATTATGATGCTTTTATTTCAATATATTTTATAAATTTTATAAGATCTATGTTCATTTGAAAAAGTAAATAAAACATGTCTTATTTTCAAATCAGTTGTGTTTATATTGTAATGGAGACTTATTGTAATCCTGAAAAGTATCAAAGGTGGTCAGTATCTTACATGTTACATGGCATTGCTGCTTTTTTTATGCCCAGTCTGTGATACCAGGAAGCTTATAGTGTTTCTGTCTACATTTATGTGTATACATCCAACTTACTAAGGTTTAAGGTTTTCAAATGGGAAGAAGATGTTAAAACAAATTCAAATTTCAACATATAATACCTCCAGATGAGATAAATCAACTTGATTGTGTGTCATCAATTTTATGATTGATTGATCATTCTGTCAGTGTTTGTCAATATTGATGTTATAATGTCTTTACCATGAGTTTTATGGCTGTAAATCAGTGCAACTTTTTCAACTCTCAACTAGACAAAAAGAAACCCTTGTAAAATCAACATCTATCAGAAAACATTATTTTTTAAACAAAAATAAACTTTCTTGTCAGCATGTTAGAACATTATGAATATAGTCTACTGATGTTCCACACTTAATAAAATGCACTGTTAGAAGGAACTTGGTATAATTCCTTGCCATTCATTTCATTGATTGGTTTGAATGTCTTAAGGAAAATACAGAAGACAATTAAAACCAATCTAAAAATATCTGGCTGGCTAAATTTAATTATTATTTTCAGAAACCCTCGTTAAGTAGTGTTTGGCAAAACCTTTCGTAATTTTGGATCCTCAATGCTCAACTTTGTACTTTATTTGGCCTTTTGAACTTTTTTTTATCAAGCTTCACTGATGAGTCTTTTGTAGACGAAATGGGCGTCTGAAACACAAAATTTTAATCCTGGTATCTAGGATGAGTTTATTTAGTATGAAAGTTCTATGGGGAAAAAAGACTATTAACATGAAACTTAACTATGTAATCTTAAAAACACTTTACCATTCAATGGTTTGGATGACCATAATTAATCAAATTGCACTGTAGATTGATTCTTACTAAGGTGTTTCTAGAGAAATAGGTAAAAAACAAAAAACAAAACAATACACCAAAATGCATTATACCCTATTCCTTGTTCACAGCCTCTGCTTCTGGAATAACCTTCATCAGGTCAATTCGAATTTAATACATATCCTGTGTCCACACTTTGCTTACAAGGATCTGACAAGACTGTTCTACTTTCTGTTCTGGTTATTATAACAATAAATACTCACTTATTATGAGTAATTCATTTAGGATAACTATATTAGGTATATATACAGTATGGGTTCCTTGTAACGTCTACATGTCCATCAGGTAGGGTTCACCTGACCTCACCCTCATTTCATGGATCAGTGATCAAGGTTCAAGTTACATGGTCAAGTCTATATCTCAGATACTATAAGCATTAGGTCATCTATATTTGGTGTTTGGAATTATTGTAAGGTGAACATGTCAGATAGGCAGGTTTCATCTGACCTTGACCTCATTTTCATGGTTCTTTGGACAATGTTTAGTTTTTGTGGTTTGGTATATTTCTCAGATATTATAAGCAATTGGTCAATTATATATTTAGTGTATGGAAAGATATAACCTTGACTTCATTTTCATGGTTCATTAGTCAATGATAAATTTTCGTAATTTTGTCAGTTACACATATACTATAAGCAATAGGTCAACTATATTTGGTGCATGGAATGATTGTAAGGTATACATGTCTGTCTGGCAGGGTTCATATGACCTTGATCTCATTTTCATGGTTCATTGGTTAATGTTAAGATTTTGTGATTTGATTTGTTTCTCAGGTACTACATGTATTAGCAATAGGACCACTATTTTTGGTGTATGGATTATGGAATGATTGTAAGGTGTACATATCTGTCTGGTTTATGCATGGTTTGTCTGATCCGTGACCTTATTTTCATAGAACATTGATAATGTTAAGTTTATGTGATACATTTTTGAACTTGAAGTAAAACATTCATATTACAGATTTTCAATATGATTTCAATGATAAGTAAAACAGACATGACATTTCAGCATGTGCACTCTTGTTATCAATAGTGTTATAAAGTTTTTAGAAGATCTGTTTAGTCATGAATATTTTGAGCACAATGAACATGGTATGTGTGTATCCCATCGCCCTGAGTCGGAAGTCTATCAATCTTGGGCTATTGAAATGATAAATATGGGTGATGTTACCTCTAATAACCAATGATCAATTGATTGATTAATGGTTGCTTAACTTCCATCAGTATGTATTACATGGATATTCTCATTATACTAAATAACCTGGAATTTTGTAAGATCAATATATAATTGAGTTAGATGGGCTGATTCAGACTAGTCAAGACTAAATTTAAAGGTCAAGACTGAGTTGAGACGGGTCGAGACTGGTCGAGCATTTGTCAAGACCATATTCAGACTATACCAAGACTATCAATTACTCAATCAGATTTATTAAGTAAAGTCGAGACCAAAGTCGAGAACAGTTAAGTACTATCTAGATTATGTCGAGTCTTGTCAAGTAAAATCTGTGCTCGACCAGTAAAATTATGGTCTTTTCAGACTCTGAGCAGTTTGTAGTGTTAGATTTAAGAAAGAACTTGTCATCTGATTCCAAGTTGTATGACTGTAGGTGATCCGTTTATCAACTAGAGAATATAAGTTGTCCTCTCTGCCATTAAGTCACTAATGAATGAAGATTTTAAAATATAGTTCCAACTTAGGCAAAATGAGTTTACTGATACTGACGATTCAGAAATTATTGTGTGCATTTATTTTTGTTATTTTTGAAGAATAGACAAAAATGCAAGGTTAATTAGTCGATTTCAGGAAAATCTGCACCAAAAATATGTATCAGATATCAGAGTGCGAGTTCTTATCATTGTGATACTCAACCAGTTGCATTATTCGCAAAAATAAAACCTCATAATAATTTCTGAATTTACAGTTTCCTATTTGTCATATACATTGAAATTATTAATTTTTATTTATTGAGATATTATTTATTAATTTATTATTTGAAGTCCTCTGTGACTTCCAGTGAGGTGTATTCCATGCTTAAGGTATCTCTATAACTTTGAGATGGTCATTTGTGACTTCCAGTGAGGTGTATTCCATGCTTAAGGTATCTCTATAACTTTGAGATGGTCCTCTGTGACTTCCAGTGAGGTGTATTCCATGCTTAAGGTATCTCTATAACTTTGAGATGGTCCTCTGTGACTTCCAGTGAGGTGTATTACATGCTTAAGGTATCTCTATAACTTTGAGATGGTCCTCTGTGACTTCCAGTGAGGTGTATTCCATGCTTAAGGTATCTCTATAACTTTGAGATGGTCATCTGTGACTTCCAGTGAGGTGTATTCCATGCTTAAGGTATCTCTATAACTTTGAGATGAAGAACAGCAAACCACTGTTCCTCTCCTTTTGGTTTTGTCATGTCAGTATCCTCTCCTTTTGGTTTTGTCATGTCAGTATCCTCTCCTTTTGGTTTTGTCATGTCAGTATCCTCTCCTTTTGGTTTTGTCATGTCAGTAATGAGATTTGATTTTGATTTTTGGTGTTTTAAAGCCACTTTTAAGCACCGCTTTTGGGCTATTTCATGGCGGCCAGTTTTTATTGGTGGCGGAAGCTGGAGTGCCCGGAGAAAACAACCGACCTTCGATAGGAAAACTGACAATCCTAGTCAATTAAAATTGGAGTCAAGTGGAGCGGGGTTCGAACTCACAATCTCAGTGTTGACTGGCTAGTGATTACAGTAGTAACTACTTAGACCACTCGGCCACCGAGGCCCCCAGTAATGAGATCTACATGTACCAGGAAATAATATTTCTTCTTTTTCAGTTCTTTTAGATCCATATTTTTGCTTTTAGAATTCCAAATATCTTAACAACATACCCCATATGTATTTGGGTAACAGTGGTATAATATTTAATTGGGATATTTTATTACTTTGTATGTCTACCAGTCATATATCATATGGTTATACTATATATGAATCATGGAACACTGCCAAGAGTGATGTTTTTTTTTTGTGTCCATGTGTATTGTATTGTGATTAAATACAATATGTTGTGTTAATTTTAATATATATATGTATATGAATTTCAAAACACTTTTATGATGCATGTTTATTGCATATTGACAATGATAATGATAATTTACACGTACATTTTGAGAATACATTCTTAAAGAACTTCTAGATATGTCTCATCTTTGTTTTAGTTGTTTTTTTTCACCTTAGTTTGACCAAGAAAATTTCAATTTACTATGACAGTAACAATGTCCTTCACCTTAGTTTGACCAAGAAAATGTAAATTTACTACAGTAACAATGTTCTTCACCTTAGTCTGACCAAGAAAATGTCAATTTACTATGACAGTAACAATGTCCTTCACCTTAGTCTGACCAAGAAAATGTCAATTTACTATGACAGTAACAATGTCCTTCAACTTAGTCTGACCAAGAAAATGTCAATTTACTATGACAGTAACAATGTCCTTCACCTTAGTCTGACCAAGAAAATGTCAATTTACTATGACAGTAACAATTTCCTTCAACTTAGTGTGACCAAGAAAATGTAAATTTACTATGATAGTAACAATGCCCTTCACCTTAGTCTGACCAAGAAAATGTCAATTTACTATGACAGTAACAATGTCCTTCACCTTAGTGTGACCAAGAAAATGTAAATTTACTATGACAGTACCAATGTTCTTCACCTTAGTTTGACCAAGAAAATATCAATTTACTATGACCGTAACAATGTCCTTCACCTTAGTTTGACCAAGAAAATGTCAATTTACTATGACAGTACCAATGTTCTTCACCTTAGTTTGACCAAGAATATGTCAATTTACTATGACAGTAACAATGTTCTTCATCTTAGTGTGACCAAGAAAATGTAAATTTACTATGACAGAAATAATGTCCTTCACCTTAGTTTGACCAAGAAAATGTAAATTTACTATGTCAGTAACAATGTGCTTCACCTTAGTTTGACCAAGAAAATGTCAATTTACTATGACAGTAACAATGTCCTTCACCTTAGTGTGACCAAGAAAATGTAAATTTACTATGACAGTAACAATGTTTACATTCCATTTCGCCATATTTCTTTGTTGTTAATCCAAACACTGTCATAGATCCCTCAGTGGTACAATTCTCATTTTCCAATTTAATATCCAATCCTTCTTTTGTTAAATCATGCACTATACAATTTGAGATAGACAATGCCTGGTGTTTGTCGCCAACCTTGAGAGGAATTGTCATCGAGAAATCCTCTGTGTCTATGTTGTATGCCTCAATCATTTCTGTATTATCAAAACCATCCATAGGTATAACCAAATCTAACATATGGTGGCGTTCATTGTGATAAACAAAACCTATACCGCCTTCTGATTCCTGAAGATATATTAAATATACCACTGTCTGTCCATGTGCTGAGGCTTTTTTGAAATCATATGCTGCTTCCAAAACACTTTCTTTTATTTCTGTGTAATTGTCTATTGGGTCTGGTCTATTGCCATAAAATGGATACAGAGGTGGTAGTTTGAGTAATTTATCTCGTAGTTCAGTAATAGCAAAGTAATCGGCATCGCGAAATACTCCTACAACAACATCCTTAGGAGGTAGGTATGTGTCATCTCTTAGAAATTCTAAAATATGTTCAAAATGTTCACCATTTCTATCAATGAAATATCGACCTTTCTGGTCCAAATTCAATTTGTGACGACCACTAATCATTGCACCCAAGAAGGATTGTGGGTATTTTGTAATTGTATCCAGTGTTGTTTGAAAAATCCGTCCTCCAACATTCAACTCTATAACTGCAGGAATCTGAAAAATTAAAAAATAAATGGGGAATGTGTCCATGTGTATAAGTTTCATAACATTTGGTTGAGGCGAACTTAAGTTAGAGAACGGAAACGAAAAACTCAGCAACTTTTCCATTTGTAAAGGAGCATAACTCAAATACGGTAAAAGTGACGCCACCAAAATTCAATCTTGATCTGTGTTTTGTGGTAATAAGCATTGTGCATAAGTTTCATAATATTTGGTTCAGGCAAACTAAAGTTAGAGAACGGAAACGAAATTCAGCAATTTTCCCATTTGTAAAAGAGCATAACTCTAGAACGATTAAAGTGATGCCACCAAAATTCAAACTTGATTTGTGTTTTGTGGTAATAAGCATTGTGTATAAGTTTTTTTCCATTTGTTGGCTAACTCTAGAACGGTAAAAGTGATGCCACCAAAATTCAAACTTGATTTGTGTTTTATGGTAATAAGCAATGTGTAAGTTTCATAACATTTGGTTGAGGCAAAATAAAGTTAGAGAACGAAAACCAATTCTGGGACATACAGACTGATGTAAAGACGGACAAGGGTAAAACTTAATACCCCCTCCGCTAAGGCGGGGGCATAATAAGGTACACCATGTACATTCTCTGGTTATATTTTTGATACAAAGGATGACGGCATCTATCAAATTTGAATATTGTGTAAAAAGAATAGGATGTGAAAAGTAAATAACAATTTATCATCCTTCCCCTTGGCCTATATCATCCTGTTCAGTGGCTCTGTAATTCTTGTATCACTGCTTTGAGACGTAAACAGACATTATTAGTGACGTCACAATGTTTGAGGAGGAGTTATCAGCGACGTCATAATGTGTGAATTTCCCAACAATTATTACATGCAAATTAGGGACAATAACATATAATGTATGCTGCTTTGTACTAAATTGACATTCTGAGTCAGATTTTTAATTTGCTAGCTTACAAGGTAGCAGTCTGCAAGTATATATTATTAGTATCACCCTACTCAGACACATTATTTTTTAATTTTGAGCAAACCAGCATTAATATAAGGAGATGGATGTAAATTGCCAAAGAGACAATCCATTAAGGTGTAATAGCTACCACCAAATCATAGTACGTCACATCCAGTTTCATAAGAATATTCCCTTGAATTTGACATGTACAGTTGTGTGAAATTAATCATACATTTCATTGCAGTAAAAAATTTCTGAGTCATAAACAGATATCTTGGGTGTTTCAAGTCACCATTCTTTTTTTATTTGGTGTTTCTATAAAATATTTTGGAAACTTGAGGTTACATGGTTACTTAAGCTTGTAAACAGGAAAAAAAGGGTGAAATTTGATTGGTTAAATTCCAGTGATGGTTGTTATCTTATATGCAATGAAATGTTATGTGAAATTTTGTCTGTAGGACTGGACAGGATAAGGCTTTAATCGTATCAAGTATTTCTTTATTTGGAACAAAGATGAATTCTGCACAATTTTTTGAAAAGTGCTAATTTAACAAAGAGACCCCTGGGTAAAACAATGGTGGTATTACTCCTCAAAACGGGACCATGCATGATTGACTCCTTAGTAGTGGTATTAGTTATAAAGATATTTGTATAAAATAAACTAAGATATCACTGGAATCAGAATTTTCTTAAGAGTATCATGAAATAAACAAAGTGTAATTTCAATATAGTAAAAACAAATTGCTTCAGGGTACATTTGCCTGCTCTAGAAAGAGCTACAGTAGCTACAAATAAGTTTAAAAAAAAGGCAGGATTCAGTTTAGTGTTGTCTCCACTAAACTAAGTATATAAATTCTAATTTTAAAAATCATTCTGATCATTCAACATTTAATTGAAAGATAACTAATTCTTACTATCAAATACAAAAAAAAACATGATACTTTTCACCAACTGTGTAAATAAAAAAGGATTTCCCTCCATGGCTATTTTTCATCTGGGAATTAAAGAACCTTTGTGAGCATGCTCACATACCCCACACCCCCACATTGTCACTGGGCAAACAAAATCTCACCAGATTCCTAAGTTCAAAGACTCATAACTCCTACAAAAGTCAACTGATAAAAATTTCTTGTGGATATGCACAGCTACATATTATGTCCTTATTATCTACGAAGTTTCACGAAATTCAGTTGTGTGGTGATAGAAAAGTTGTGATGACAAACTAGTTTACTCTTGCAGTTATATATTTAGGCAAAAATTTTAAGTTCAAAGGAGCACAACTTCTAGAATAAAACTTGAATCGTAATTTTCAGTCGATATGCACATCTACATAGTATGTCCTTATTATCTACAAAGTTTCATGAAATTCTGTTGTGTTATTTCAAAGGAGTTGCGATGACAAACTCTTGTAGTAGTATATTTAGGCAAAAATTCTAAGTTCAAAAGGGCATTACTCCTAGAATATGTTGAATCATAATTTCCTGTCGATATGCACATCTATATATTATGTCCTTATTAACTACAAAGTTTCATGAAATTCTGTTGTGTGGTTTCAGAGGAGTTGAGATGACAAGAACAGGACTGACGGATGGACGGACTGACGGGTCAAAAACATTATACCCTACGGAACATTGTTCCGTGGGGATAATAACCCCTAGTATTGTATACTAAACTGTTTATAGCACCCTAATAAGTTAACAGTAAGCTACCCCCAAACAAAAAGATTCAAAGGTCTCATACATGTTCAGTTAAAGCTGACTTACCTTTCCTTCCCCCTTGTGTCTTGGTGACTGTGATCTGCTACCACTTCTACCAATATCAATCTGGCTTGGGTCTTTGCATCTTTTGTCATGGTAACAAGGGGATTGATCTCTACTGATTGGTATAAATATAATATATCATGACCATAATCAATTAAATCCACTCTAATTGGAAAATATGTCTTAATTATATAAAATTATATAAAAAAAACCCGAGGTATGGGGAAATATATTGATGAAACAGCAACTAGACGACAGAAAAATAAATGAGTCTAGAAGTAAACAAATGGCCTGCAACAATAGAAAAATTTATGCATGATACATGCATGTCAGTTAGCTCTTAATCACCATTAGTTTAGAAAAGTTGTGAAAAATTTAATGTGACAATCAAAGATCAGCCATCAAGACCAATTTCCCAACTTAACAAATACAGATTAAATAATTTATTGTAACAACTTCCATTGTTGACATTTTTGGGTCGTTCCAAAGCCAGGAATATTCCTAGCAAGGTTGCTGCAAATATTTAGTATTTCCTTATTGAGGAGATGATCATGCAGTCTTGTTTGTGCGGTCATTTTAATTTATTCTCTTTGGCTTGATCTTCTTTTTAAAGCTTGCAATATGATCATTCAAAATGATGTCAACTTTAGTTGTTTATTTTTACACTCTATTCACATTTTCATTGCATAGATGATAGAATATAATTTGTGCATCAATTACAATGTATATTCCATAATCAAACCCCCCAAACAAATTTTGCTTTATTAAATGATCTTCGTTCTCAAAATTAAAATTAAGGGCTTACTGTTTGTAGGACCTTCTGTGATATGGCGATCTCGATCTTGACCTTTTATGTCTGCTGTTATTCATACTTCTTGATCTGAAACCAAATAATTTTAATTTATTTTTGTATACTCAAAAACTGAAATAATGCAACAAATCTATTTGTTTTAGCCTCACCTGCAAAGAAAGTGGCAGTTCTTGCCTGCAATGAAAGTCCAAGTATGCGTGACAGGGATTACAATTACACGTTGGCGTAAACTATTAGAATAAAACTGTATATTAATTAATTTCAGCACAACAGAGAGTGACAACTATTCTGATAAAGAGCTTTCATTATTGTAAATCTTCCACAATTGATGATAATGCAAGATTAATAAATGTGATACCTATATATATTTTGTAGTACTAGTAAATCTATATTAAAAGAGAGGTAAAAGATACCAAAGGGACATTCAAACTCATTAGTGGAAAACAAACTGACAATGCCATGGCAAAATCATAAATGAATGAAAGTTATCATTATTGTGATTACCCTCCAGTCACATAGCATCATCTTTACAATTTACAATTTTCTATTATCCACAAAATTGGATTGGAACTATACAAAGAATTATGGTGAGACGTAAATAAACTATTTGTATTGTATTTGTATTGTATCTTGCATATCTTATTACCATCAAATGCCTCATTAAAATAAAATGATCCTATAAGATTTCCTTTATTATAAATTCAGCATGAAGGATACTCTCAGATTTGAGGGGATCTCGTATTACAATGCTGATTAGCAATTATATCTAACCGTATTCCAAAAGACTGACCCTTGATGCTTTATATTGATTATCTGATAAGAAAATTTACCTCCTAATGATCTTTCCTATTGTTTAAATTTCTAAGATGAAAATATAAAAAAAGAATACTTTAATTTATTATAACTCACTAAAAGAATGAAACAAAGAGCCTGTATTGCTCACCTGCAATACTGTAAATTCAGAAATTATTGCGAGGTTTTTATTAATGAGCATAGTGCGACTGGATGAGTATCGCAATAGCAAGAACTTGCATTTTGACATCTGATACATATCTCTGAAAGCAGCTTTACCCAAATATTACAATAATTTATCTCACATTTTTTTCCCATTCTTCAAAAACCGCAATAATAAATGCATGCAATAATTTCTGAATTTACAGTATTACAAATAGTTTCCAATAAAAATTCCAAATAAAATGCTCTGTGGGGGTGCTGCTTAATACGACCACAGAGGTCGAACCCTGAACAGTTGGGGCAAGTATGGACACTACATTCAAGCTTGATACAACTCTGAATTTGGATTGTGATTAAATATTTGACACATCATCGATCACCCCCAGTTTTTGGTGGGATTCGTGTTGCTCCATCTTTAGTTTTCTTTTTGTTGTGTTTTGTGTACTGTTTGTCTGTTTGTCTTTTTCTTTTTTAGCCATGGCGTTGTAAGTTTATTTTTGACTTATGAGTTTGAATGTCACTTTGGTATCTTTCACCTCTCCTTTTCTTACACAGACTAAATGTGGTCAAAGAACTGAAAAATTTGAAATTGGACTTTTACCTATTATGGTCCAATATCCAAAATATGAATACACGGTTAGATTCAACATATCACAGAACCCCAAGAATTTAATTTTTGATGAAATCAAACAAAGTTTCATTTTGGACCCTTTGGACCAATTTGATAACAGGGCCCTGAAAATCCAAAATCTATTATACAAGGTTAGATTCAGCATATCAAAGAACCCCACATATTCAATTTTTGGACCCTGATTTGGACAGATTCAGCATATCCAAGTACAACAAGAATTTAATTCATTTATTCATTAAAGGACAATATGAGCTAAGTTTTTAAAGAGGTTCGCTTCATCAAAAAAAAAAATTAAAAAAAAAATAGCATTCAGAAAAATATTTTATACAGAATAACAAACAAAACTATCTGACACAGTTCTTCAAAACATTTACAAAAAAAATGAAAAAAAAAAACAATTTCCAAATATCATTCCCCTTAATACACTCCTACAGTTATCCCCAAGAAATCGCATCAAAATGAGGATGGATTTTAAATCAGCTCATCAGCTACACCACTTAGAAAACACAAATTTTTCAAATAAATTTGTCACTCCAATTATAAGTGTGTTAGTCAATGAATATCGATGACATGTCATGTTTTGTTTTCTTGATAACAGGTGGAAATTACTGTATGAATGAATTAATAGTAAACACACAACACTTATCCATATACATAAATGTGAATATTTAGTTAATTACAATTACAAATGTAAATATGTATTACAAATTGTGTGTAGTTTTTATAGGAAGAAAAATAAAAATAAATAACAATAATAATACATGTAATATTTGCGCCTGTCCCAAGTCAGGAGCCTCTGGCCTTTGTTAGTCTTGTATGGTTTTTTTTTAATTTTAGTTCATTTATATGTTTTGGAGTTTAGTGTGACGTTCATTTTCACTGAACTAGTACACAATTTTATTTAGGGGCCAGCTGAGGACAACCTCCGGGTGCGAGATTTTCTCGCTGCGTTGAAGACCCATTGGTGGCCTTTGGCTGTTGTCTGCTTTTTGGTCGGGTTGTTGTCTCTTTGACCTATTCCCCATTTCCATTCTCAATTTGAATAATAATTCTGTATTTAAAGAGGGTTTGTTACACAGTTAGCTTTAAAACTAATCTTCCCAGGAGGCTCCCATAAAATACATTGAAATATAATAAACAAAGAATTACAAAATAATCAAACAAATACACACATTAGCTACTGTGTAGGGAATTTATACATCACAAACTTTCCTTCATTTTTAAAATTTAATTTCCAAGATTAGTTATAAAAAAGTTAAAATAAACAAAATTTCAATTAACTTCATTGTTCCTGTCCTGAAGTGGTAATATCAGAAACTGGACATAATCATCTCTCCATATTAACAAACTCAGTTTTTTGTTTTAAACATCTGTTAAGTAATATTATCTAGATATAAGAAGATGTGGTATGAGTGCCAATGAGGCAACTCTCCATCCAAGTCAAAATTTATAAAAGTAAACCAATATAGGTCGTAGTATGGTCTTCTGTCAGTTTATCAGCATAAGATGACAGATTTACAGCTCTACTTAACCATTTTATAATCTTCTAATGAAGAGTAAATTTCAAACTATATTTATATATAATTTCTTCTCTAAAATTAGATAATCATATGATGCTATAGTATATCTATTTTTAACTATGACTCTACTTATAATAATTTCTATTAATTGTGCAATACAACTCTGGTTAAATAATTGATATAGCATAGTTTCTGACAGCATGAATGTGGTCTAAGTACTTAAATAATTTGAAATTGACATTTACCAATTATGATCCTATATACATGGAGTGGAATCAGCATACCAAAGAACCCAAGAATTCAATTTTGAAAAAATTCAACTAAGTTTAATTTGTACCCTTTGGACCTCAATGTGGACCATTTGATAACAGGACCCAAAATCTAAATACACGCTTAAATTCAGCATATCAAAGAACCCTATTTATTCAATTTTTGCTAAAATCACACCAAGTTTAATTTTGGACCCCAATTTCAACCAACTTGTGCTTTAAAAAAAAATCTAATTATATGCTTAGAATCAGCATATATCAAATAACCTCAAGTATTCAATTTTTGTTAAAATCAAAACTGTTCTATTTGGGATACTTTAAATTTGAACCTTAATGTGGATCAGTTTGAAAAACAGGCCCAAAAATCAACAAGAGTGCACACCCTGAAATGTTTCGCCTGTTTTACTGTCAGACCATTGATTTTATGTTGAAAGTTTTAAAGATGAAGGTTTTACTACAAGTACCACATAAACTTATCATTCTTAAAGATCCATGACAATGAGGTCAAGGTCGGAAATAAAATAAATGGGGAATGTGTCCATGGGACACAGATGATGCCCCCGCTTGCATATAACCTTATAAAGGGACATAACTCAAGAACTGTAAAAGTGACGCTACCCAAGTTTGAACTTGATATGAGTTTTGTGGTAATAAGTATTGTGTATAAGTTTCATAACATTTGGTTGAGGCAAACTGAAGTTAGAGAACGGAAACGAAAAATTCAGCAATTTTTCCATTTGTAAAGGGGCATAACTCTAGAACGGTAAAAGTGACGCCACCAAATTTCATTCTTGATCTGTGTTTTGTGGTAATAAGCATTGTGTATAAGTTTGATAACATTTGGTTGAGGCAAACTAAAGTTAGAGAACGGAAACGAAAAATTAAGCAATTTTTCCATTTGTAAAGGGCATAACTCTAGAACAGTAAAAGTGACGCCACCCAAATTCAAACTTGACCTGTGTTTTGTGTTTATAAGCATTATGTATGAGTTTCATAACATTTGGTTGAGGCAAACTAAAGTTAGAGAATGGAAACCAATTTTGGGACGTACTGACGGACGGATGGACGTACAGACGGACAAGGGTAAAACTTACTGCCCCCTCCTCTACGGTGAGGGCATAAAAAGGTCACACAGACATGTACACCTTACAATTATTCCATACACCAAATATGGTTGACCCATTACTTATGGTAATCGAATCATGGAAATGAGGTCACGGTAATTCCGGCTAGACATACATGTACACCTTACAATCATTCCATACAGCAATTATAGTTGACCTATTGCTATTGATATTTGAAAAAGACCAAAATAAAAAAACTTAACATTGACCAATGAACCATGAAAACGAGGTCAAGGTCAATTGACACCAGCTAGACAGACATGTACACCTAACAATCATTCCATGAACTAAATATAGTTGACCTATTGCTTATAGTAATTGAAAAAACAGACCAAAACATGAAAAATTAACAAATGACCAATGAACCATGAAAATGAGGTCACGGTCAGATGACACCGGCTTGACAGTCATGTGCACCTAACAATCATTCCATACATCAAATAAAGTTGACCTATTGCTTACAGTACTTGAAAAACAGACCAAAACACAAAAAATTATCAATGACCAATGAACCATGAAAATGAGGTCAAGGTCAGATGAAACCTGCCAGTCTGACATGTACCCCTTACAATCATTCCATACACCACATAAAGTTGACCTGCTGCTTGAAGTATCTGAGATACGGTCCTAATCAGGTAACTTAAACCTTGATCATTGATCCATGAATTGAGGTCAAGGTCAGGTTAACCCTATCTGACAGATATGTAGACGTTTCAAGGAACCCATATACCAAATATAGATATCCTATTACTCATAATAAGTGAGAAATTCACATGACAAAAAAACTGTAATTTTTTTTCAAGCAGTCACTGAACCATGAAAATGAGGTCAAGGACAATGAACATATGACAGACGGAAACTTCATAAAATAAGGTATCTGCATACAACGTAAAAAGCATACAGGTCTTCTACCTTCTGAAATATTAAGCTTTATACAAATAGTTTATGCCACTGCCTCTGCCGGATAGTAATACATATGCCTCTCATACTGGGACTTTCCTTGCAGGCGAGACAAAAATCTAAAACAGTTAGATTGGGCACATAAAAAAACACCAATAATTCAATCTTTGATGAAATCAAACAATTGCACCCCAATTTGGACCAACTTGAAAACTGTGCCCAAAATCAAACATGTAAATACATGCTTAGATTCAGAATATCAAAGAACCCCAAGAATTAAATTTAAAAAAAAAAACAAAGTTTAATTTTGGACCCTTTGGATCTTAATGTGGACCAATTTTAAGACAGGCCCCAAAATCCAAAATCTAAATGCACAATTAGATTCAGCATATTAAAGCACACCAATAATTCAATTTTTGATGAAATCAAACAAAGTTTATTTTGGACCCTTTGGACCTTAATATGGATCAATTCAAAAACAGGGTCCAAAATCCAAATTCTAAATACCCTGTTGATTCAGCATACTAAAAAACCCCAAGAATTCAAGACTTTGATTTAAACCCCATTGAAATTGGGCAAGAAATAAGTAATTTATACAAAGTATTACAAAAGTATTATTTTTTGCCCCTTTTCCCCACACCTTCCTTTTCTTGTATAACACATTTTGGCACAATTAAATGCCAATCCATAGACTTATACTCAAATTATTGTCCACAAACCAGAAAATCCTATTTTTTTGGCCCCTAATTATTAAACAGTTTCGGCCATGACCCCCAAAATCAATCCAAACCTTCCTTTTGAAGTAAAGAACCTTGTGGTAAAATTTCATAGACATTCATACTTTTATACACAAAGAAAAATGCTTGTTGTGGGCCCCTATTTACCAATCAGCTAGGACAATAACCCCTAAAATCAATCTCAACCTTCCTATTGTGGTATGGAACCTTGTGCTAAAATTTCATAGAGATCCATACACTTTTACTCAAGTTATTGTCTGTGAACCAAGTTATTGTCTATGAACCAGTAAAATGCTTTTTTTTTTTACCCCATTCTGACCCCTAATTACAAAACAGCTAGGACAATAACCTCCAAAATCAATCCCAACCCTCCTATTGCGGTATGGAACCTTGTGCTAAAATTTCATAGAGATCCGTACACTTTTAATCAAGTTATGGTCTGTGCACTAAGTTATTGTCTTTGAACCAGCAAAATGCCTGTTTGTTGCCCCATTTTGGCCCCTAATTACAAAACAGCTACGACAATTACCCCCAAAATCAATCCCAACCTTCCTATTGTGGTATGGAACAGTGTGCTAAAATTTCATAGAGACCCATACACTTATACTCAAGTTATTGTCTGCGAACCAAAATGTCTTCGGATGACAACCAAAACATTGCCATAACATGATACGAATGCAAAAATTTTGTGGTCGTATTAAAAATGTAGCTCCTGTATTACCCTTGTCAGTCTGTATGTCCGTTCGTATGTCTGTATGTCTGTCTGTCTTGAAATTGGTTTCCGTTCTCTAACTTTAGTTTGCCTCAACCAAATGTTATGAAACTTATACATAATTGCTTATTACCACAAAACAAAGATCAAGTTTGAATTTTGGTGGCGTCACTTTTACCGTTCTTGAGTTATGTCCCTTTATAACTTTATATGCAAACGGGGGGGGGGGGGGGGGGGGGGGGGGGGGGGCATCATCTGTGTCCCATGGACACATTCTCCATTTATTGTATTATATTTTTATTTTAATCAAATTTTATCACCTGTTTATCAATTTTTTAAATTTCTTTACTATATATAGGTTATGTTGATTTATTGAAGTGTTTTTTTCTTCACATAGCCAGGAGGCCTTTGTAAACAGGGTCATGAACTGAAATAATTTTTTTCAAAAAACTTGAAACAGTAGTTTTATTTTGATTTTAATAGGTCATAATCAATGACAAGAAAAACACAAAAATAAAACCTCATGAACTGGCTTGTCACTTGAAATCAAAAAACTTAAACCCTGCAAAAATATACCACATAACAGAAGTTCATCAGTATTAAAAGAGATAATAATGTTATAATTATTGCATTCACCAGGGACTAATTTCACAAAAAATTAATCTGATCGAAATATGTTCAGGACTTATTACATTGTACTGTATTTTGACCAGTAAGTTTCTTTTGGTGAAAAGAGCTACAACTCGTCTAGAATTCTTTTTTCCACAATGTCCTGAATTTGACCTTGAACTTGAACAAGTTAAACACTTTCTGCATTTTCCCCTATTAATTGATATGACCTGGTTCTTGATCTTGATCTTTGTTTCCAACCTGGAGCTCCACGTTCTGATCTTGAATTTGAGGTACCAGACTCACATGAACCTGCTTGATTCTGTAAAACGAAATGAAATATAATAAAAATTGACATTAAAGGGCAATAACTCCAATAAGGAGATGATGTACTATTTTCTCTATATTGTCTTATTGTAGATCTTATTTTGCTGATCATTTTTGCTTATTCAAGTTTCTATCTATCTATTAATTAATTTTTAAGATATAAGGCAAAAACACAAAAAAATTGGTAAAAATCGTCATCATAAAGCAATAACACTAATAAGGAGTCAACTGACAATTTTGACCATGCCAGACTTATTTGTTGAACTTGTCTTGCTGATAATTTTTGCAATTTAAAGTTTCTCTCTATCTATTACAGTTTCAAGATAATAGGCAAAAATGAAAAAAAATGTTAAAATTTGTCATTTAAGGGCAATAACTCCTATAAGAAGTTGTCTGATAAATGTGATGTATAGGAACAATGGGTAGAGCTCAACATTTTGAACATTTTTTCCCCTGTCAGATTTTTTCTATTTATAACGGTTTTCAAAATAATAGACAAAACTTGCATTTTACCCCTATGTTCTATTTTTAGCTATGTCAGCCATCTTGGTTGAGAGGCGGGGTCATCAGACACATTTTTTAAACTAGATACCCAAATGATGATTTTGGCCAAGTATGGTTAAATTTGGCCCAGTAGTTTCAGAGGAGAAGTTTTTGTAAAAGATAACCACGACGGATGCCAAGTGATGAGAAAGCTCAATTGGCCCCAAATTAAAGTGGCTTCCACTTTTTTTAAACACTAACAATCAACCACTCAATCACTTTTTCAATTGAGGAATTTGATGTTGACAAATCTACTGAGGGTAGTCTCTGTTTACATATAAAAATAAGGCCACCCATAACAAATTCTTTGTTTTGATCATTGCCTACCCATGCCTTGTAGGGTTGGGTAGGTAGGTAGGGATTTTATTTTCTATTTGGCCAACAACACAAGTTACATGTTTTAGACAAGAAAACAATGCTAAAGCATGAAAAAAAAATATTAAAAAAAAATTGAAGCGATTGGTGTAATAAATGTTTTTGAGTATGCTGCTTTTTATGGGGGTAGGTAGGCAACTTCAAACTATTCTTATCTTATTTTTGGCCTAATTACTCACAACTTATTTACAATGTAGTTTAGTTAAAGATTGATTACTATGCTGGCTCTTCTGATTTACATATAACCCATGTTTTTTGTTTATTCAACTTACACAAAAGAATCTTTTTTCTTTAGAGATGCAAAAATTTAATCAAGATAAAAATATACGCTCCAATAAAATTGAGCCTAAAACCAGATTTTTTGTTGTTGTAAATTCCTGATTATAAAATTTACATATTCAAAATGATAATATAAAGCTAAAATATTTTGATGTTTGATATTGACTAATGGCTATTGATTTACTACAATTCAAGAAGTGCTAGTACAACATCATTTTGCACAACTGTTTTACTATCGGAAAGGTAGATTAATTAGCAGGAAGTAAGTGGGTTTGAAGGTCTGTTAATCACCTTTTAAACTATAGCAAGTTGAAGTGCCACTTCAAAACTAAATTGATCAATGATTAATTCTGATTATATAATAATAAGAAGATGTGGTATGATTGCCAATGAGACAACTCTCCACCAGAGACCAAATGATATAGAAGTTAACAACTATGCATATAAACTATAAACCAGTTATTTATATCTCAATACCAAGTTTGTCTTTATCAAATTTTCTGATTGAAGTTCTTTATTTTATTTGAGTTAACTTATTTATATATCTATATGAGCAGATAAGGTCAATCTGAAACATAATTGTAAAAAAAAAACTAGAGGCTCTAAAGAGCCTGTGTCGCTCACCTTGGTCTATGTGCATATTAAACAAAGGACACAGATGGATTCATGACAAAATTGTGTTTTGGTGATGGTGATGTGTTTGTAGATCTTACTTTACTGAACATTCTTGCTCCTTACTACTATCTCTATCTATAATGAACTTGGCCCGGTAATTACAGTGGAAAATACTTTGTAAAAATTTACAAAATTTATGAAAATTGTAAAAAATTGACTATAAAGGGCAATAACTCCTTAAGGGGTCAATTGACCATTTTGGTCATGTTGCCTTATTTGTAGATCTAACTTTGCTGTACGTTATTGCTGTTTACAGTTTATCTCTATCTATAATAATATTCAAGATAATAACCAAAAGCTGCAAAATTTTCTTAAAATTACCAATTCAGGGGCAGCAACCCAACAACGGGTTGCCTGATTGGTCTGAAAATTTCAGGGCAGATATATCTTGACCTAATGAACAATTTTATCCTCATCAGATTTGCTCTAAATGCTTTGGTTTCAGAGATATGAGCCAAAAACTGCATTTTACCCTATGTACTATTTTTTAGCAATGTCGGCCATCTTGGTTCGCGGGCGGGGTCATCGGACACATTTTTTAAACTAGATACTGTAATGATGATTGTGGACAAGTTTGGTTAAATTTGTCTTAGTAGTTTCAGAGGAGAAGATTTTTGTAAAAGATTACAAAAATTTAGGAAAAATGGTTAAAAATTGACTATAAAGGGCAATAACTCCTTAAGGGGTCAACTGACCATTTTGGTCATGTTGACTTATTTGTAGATCTTACTTTGCTGAACATTATTGCTGTTTACAGTTTATCTCTATCTATAATAATATTCAAGATAATAACCAAAAACGGCAAAATTTCCTTAAAATTACCAATTCAGGGGCAGCAACCCAACAACGGGTTGCCTGATTGGTCTGAAAATTTCAGGGCAGATAGATCTTGACCTAATGAACAATTTAATCCTCATCAGATTTGCTCTAAATGCTTTGGTTTCAGAGATATGAGCCAAAAACTGCATTTTACCCTATGTACTATTTTTTAGCCATGTCGGCCATCTTGGTTCGCGGGCAGGGTCATCGGACACATTTTTTAAACTAGATACCCTAATGATGATTGTGGACAAGTTTGGTTAAATTTGTCTTAGTAGTTTCAGAGGAGAAGATTTTTGTAAAAGATTACAAAAATTTACGAAAAATGGTTAAAAATTGACTATAAAGGGCAATTACTCCTTAAGGGGTCAACTGACCATTTTGGTCATGTTGACTTATTTGTAGATCTTACTTTGCTGAACATTATTGCTGTTTACAGTTTATCTCTATCTATAATAATATTCAAGATAATAACCAAAAATGGCAAAATTTCCTTAAAATTACCAATTCAGGGGCAGCAACCCAACAACGGGTTGTCCGATTCATCTGAAAATTTCAGGGCAGATAGATCTTGACCTGATAAACAATTTTACCCCATGTCAGATTTGCTCTAAATGCTTTGGTTTCAGAGATATATGCCAAAATCTACATTTTACCCCTATGTTCTATTTTTAGCCATGGCGGCCATCTTGGTCGGTTGGCCGGGTCAACGGACACATTTTTTAAACTAGATACCCCAATGATGATTGTGGCCAATGTTGGTCAAATTTGGCCCAGTAGTTTCAGAGGAGAAGATTTTTGTAAAAGTTTACGGACGACGGACGACGGACGCAGGACGACGGACGCAAAGTGATGAGAAAAGCTCACTTGACCTTTCAGGTCAGGTGAGCTAAAAAAGGAATTTTATGGGAAATAAAATGCTCCTTGGGCCAAGCTTGATATGACCACAGAGGTCAAACCATGAACAGTTGGGGAAAGTATGGACACTACATCCAAGCTTTATACAGCTCTAAATTAGAATTATGTTTAAAAATTTGACATAGCATATGTTTCTGACACAGAATGAATGTGGTCAAAGAACTGAAAAATTTGAAATTAGACTTTTACCTATTATAGTCCAATATCCAAAATCTAAATACATGGTTAGATTCAGCATATCAAGCACACCAAGAATTTAATTAATTTATTAATTAATAATTAATGGACAATATAAACCAAGTTTTTAAAGGGGTTCGTTTCATCAAAAGAAAAAATATAATAGCCTTCTGAAAATTAAGTTGTACAGATTAACTAACTAACCTACCACGAAGTTCTTTGAAAAATTTACAAAAATATGAAACAAACAATTTCCAAAATATTATTCATCATTAATACAATGTGTCTTCACAAAATCTATAAAACTTACCTGTAGTTATTTTTCAATACAAGTAAAAACTTGTAAGGGGTTCCACAGAACCCTGTGTCTTGCCTGCTGGTGTCAATGTAAAGGTGAAATGTTGACTTAAAAAGCGAGTCCATTTATCAATAAAATACAGAATTTAAAAAGAAATTAAACTTTTTCTTTAGATGCTTTTTCTTGGTCATGAAGATAAGCTTCTGTCCAAGTTTCATAACAATCCATAAAGGTTTACAAATTTATCATGTCAAAAAAAATTAATTACAGACTGTCTGTAAATGTTAACTGTACAAAAAACTAAGCTTATCTATCAGAAAAATACTGAAAATGAAAAAAATATATTTTCAAAAGTTTGCTTCAGACATTATCTCTAACTCTTAAAAGAAAGCTTCTTCCAAAGTTTCATAAAATTCTACGATGGTTCGACAAAGTAATAAGTAATTTAACTTTAACCCCAGACTGTATCTACTTGTTAATTTGAAAAAAAACTAAGTCCATTTATCAGATTCAGTAAAATACAGAAAAATGAAAATAAATATTTTTTAAATTTCACTCTGGATACTGTATTTTGGTCATTAACACGCTTCTGTTCAAATTTCATAAAATTCCATGAGGGTTTGACAAAGTTATCGATGATTGAAAAACTGAACCTAAATGAATCTGAATGTTAACTGTCAAATATACTAAGTTCATTTATCAGTAAAATACGGAAAAATAAAAATAAATATTTCAAAATTTTTCTCTGGATACTGTATTTTGGTCATAAACAAGCTTCTGTCATATTTTCATAAAATTCCATGAAGGTTTGACAAAGTTATTGATGTCTATAAAAAACTTTAACCACAGACTGAACCTAAATGTTGAAGCCGCTGCCTCTGATGCAATCTAGGATCGCTATGTCTCCCTTT